TAACATGAAGCAAAAGATCTAAAAACTTATGACCATGTAATAATTGAGCTTTTCCTTTTTGACAAATTTGCTATTTGTTTCCGTCAAGATTGGGTTCTGAGGCACATTGATGAGAGAAAAAAAAGAACTTTTTGGTTTTAGCAAACACTGTAACTAAACAAAGAGCGCAAAATTCAAAAGGGTCTGAATACTTTTTATACCAACTGTACATTTATATATTTCATGCTATACATTACCCTTCCATATACCTGTAGGATCTAGGGTTGTCACGATACTAAATTTTTCAACTCGATACCGATACTAAGGAAAATATACGATACTCGATACCATTTTCGATACCACAAGGATAAAATTTCCAAATTTCAACAGAAATATTTAGATTAATAATTAAAATACAATAAATAAATAAATACAATAAACAATAAGAACAACATTTTGAGGTTGTTTGCTGTGCACTGTATTTAGCAAGCTTGATAAAAAAAACTTACAAAATTAAAATTAAGTTTTCCTTACTTGGCTATGCTTTACACACATAACAATGACACTAGCCAAACCGGTTAAGAAACAGAAAATAATTCTCAGCAGCTGCCCCTGTTACAAAAAAGTCTGAAACTGAAAAGTGCATAGAATTATTCAATCACACAGTGTTCAGAAAGTGCATTTTCCTCTATTCTGCACTTTAGATGAATGACTGTTTAGGTGCCACTGGTGGTAGCACTGTATCGATACTTTTGAAAATGAGTATTGTATGCGGATACAACGTTTCAGTATCGATACTTTTTTGAGTATCGATACTTTTGACAACCCTAGTAGGATCACATCACAATGATTGTGAAAACTACCTCACACCACTCCAGGGTGGTCCTGAACCCCACTATGGGAGCCCTTAATCTCAAGTATAAAAAAAAAAAAGTCACATTAAATATGTGGAATATTTTATCGATGCCGCTTATGCTCAAAAAGACATAAATTAAGTTAAGTTAAAACATACGTACAGTTTTTACTAAGCTGCTGTACGGATTTTACAATAACTGATCAGTGTTGGCTAATCATTTTTTTCCACTACTATTGCCATTTTGTTATTTAGTGTTTAAAATATATCTATACAAAACAAAATGCTTTGATAAATACCCAAATGAGCGTTTAGTCCACGTTTCATAGCACTATATTGTATAACAGAGTTACATTTTTATGAGAAAATTGATTTTTTTTCCCAATTTAAACTATTCATCAGATTCCGTTTTGTATAACAGAAGTGCAAATACGTATATTTTAACATTTCTTTCTACTCCATACATAATCTATACCTAATTTATCTTCTGTAAATACTCTACCTAAAAAAGACCTAAAACCAGAAAAATTAACAAGCCTGTATTTATTTTTTTTTCCTGTTTCACAATTTAACTCAAATTGAGCCAGTACACTAAGTTTATCAGTCAATACTTTATTGTGTGTCAGTTAATTTTTGCTCTCACACAGGTCATGTTCAGTTCACACTCCCAAACACTAGTGATACCAAGGTACATCCAAAGCTTTGCTCAGTACACTGTAAAACAGCATTCAGTTCAACAGAAGTGAACAGTTCTCATCAACTTGGTTTTCAAACTAATCTTAAATAAGTTTTGTAAATTAGGTGGGGGAAAAAATGAGCTACTTGAGCTAATTAAGAACACCTCATTGGTTTACTACTGGTTCCTTGGCTCTTGGGAGCAGGTTTTGTATGTGCATTTTTTTTTTAAAGTGGAGAGGGTAGGTCTCTTTAAAAAAAATCGTGAAAATCCTTAATTATACTTTTAAGTGACAGATCTGGCCATCTGAAGCTACATAGGAGAGTTTTTGAGAAGATCAACATTTTTTTCAGTATATTGAACTGAAATTTTTTTTTTATGTATTTCAAATAAAGCTAATTATTCTGTTGATCTAAATTAAATAAATAAAAACAACAAACGCTTGGACACTAAGTATAAAATCGTATAGGGCACTTGTAGTCCATCCATCTTCCCATCTATCCATTTGCCGTATCCTTGGTTGGGGTCGAGAGGGGTTCTGGTGCCTATCTCCAGCTGGCGAGAGGCGGCGTACACCCTGGACAGGTCACCAGTCCATGGCAGGGCAAAACAGAGACAAACAAGACAAACAACCATTCACACACATGCTCACACCTATGGGGAATTTAGAGAAGCCAATTAACCTAACAGTCATGTTTTTGGACTGTATGGAGGAAGCCGGAGTACCCGGAGAGAACCCACGCATGCTCAGGGAGAACATGCAAACTCCATGCAGAAAGACCCGGGGCCAGGAACCTTCTTACTGCAAGGCAGCAGTGCTGAGCAGCCCCCACTTGTAGTCATAATTATTAATTTTTTAAGATAATTTTAAGGAAGACCAGCTTAGTAGATTTTAGAGCATACTAATAAATAAGTCTTTAAGCATGTTGGCTGTATTTAACTGCTAGGAAGCCAATTAACTAAGGGGTTATGGGAATTGCTCACAGCTGAGCTACTCTCTAATTTGGTGATTTCTGAAGGTGAATGATTAAACTGGATTTTATTTAAGGCTATCTGAATAAAGAAGGTGTACAAATGACATTTTATATTTGTAATAAAGAAAAACGTTCCATGGTTATTATGAACATTGTCATGTGGATATCTGGATTGCTTTTTATCATTCTTCTCTTGGTTGTTTTAATTTTTGTTGGTGCTGAAATTAAAAATAAAACCTGCAAACAGTGTGTTCCAGATGCAGGGCACCATCTCCTCCTTGCAGATCAGCTCTCCTCCTGAATAGCCTTCCTCTGTTTCCTGTCATTCGGTCAAAGGCGTCCCTCCACCAGGCTCTCTGAGCCTAAAGGTGTTTAGCCGATGTGGGCAAATTGGACATGAATCCTATTTATTTCATTTGATTTATTTATTTTAATCGTTATTTAGAGAGAGCGGGGTGAACGCGCTGTCGTATCCCGGTGGTTGCCTGGTAACGCGCTGGCAGTGGGCGCCGTAGAGAGATCTGTGTGGTGGGCGCTCCATTAAAACCGTTGGCGCTCCTGACCTTGGCGTCGTGAATGCGCAAAGCACGCAGGCTGTGCGAAGCAGCAGATAAGAGCGAAGATCCGTGTGTCTGATAATCCTAAACCAGGGGAGGATATTCTCTTCAGATCTCCATCCTCTCCTGCCTCTTGTCCTGCAATCCTGACTGACTCGACTGGTATGGAGGAAAATGCTGGGATGGAGCGCGTTTCAGCTGGTGTAGAAGCAGGTGAGTTAACCTAATGATGCTGGGGTTTTTTTCCACTGTCCTGATTGGTAACTGACATCTGGCCAGATTGTTCGCTTATGGATATTTATCAGTTCTTCTTTTCCTCGACATTTTCTTTACACCTTATCTATTTTTATTTTCTCCACCGTCCTAGACCTAGATTAAACAGGCTTCCCATTCACACCATGAGACACCGCGCACACACTACAGCAGTTTTCTTTCTGCTATGTGGGCTGTGCCTTGTTTTTTTTTTTTTTTTCTTGTTTTTTTCGTGGGTTTGGTTTCTTGCGTTAATTTATGAAACAGTGATTATTATGCAGGGTGCTCCCTATGCATGCATCCATAGTCCACTGGCAAATTAGGGGCCAGACTTCAGAACAGGTTTGTTCCACAGCCATCGCACTACAAGGACACAGGGAGCCTGGTCCCGTTGTGTGAGATGCTCCTCTCTTTCTCAGCTTTCAGTTCAAGTACCCATCCACCTCCCCCAAGGGTATCAGCTCCCTCCAATCGATAAGATGTCCCAGAGATTTTTTAGCGCTGAATTGGTGCCTAATTGTGCGTCTGTCAATACTGCTTGTGTAGAAATAGTGTTATTAGAGTGAAACATGTCCCTTTAATAGCTTTGGATCTAGGCAGTCAAAATTGGAGTTTAGTTTTTTTGGGGGTATTTTCTTTGAACATATGGAACAAAGTTGTATATGTTGTTTATATACAATTTTAGGCAAGTAAAAGACAGGGGTCTTATCTTATTCCCTTCCTCCTCTTTGCTCCAATGCAGAAAGCATTTTTTTCCCTCTTCCCAACATGGAATAGGTGCAGGTATCTGGCTTTGAACTTCACAATGATGAATGCCCAAATGGTATGTTATGGATTTGCCTTGAATACATGATCAAACCGCAATACATGTTAAAAACTAGGGAGGGTCTGATGCAACTCCTTCATTTCCAATATGATACTGATATTGCAGCTTTGAGTAATTACCGATACCAATATTTACCTGATATGATATCAGCAAGGATCATAAATAAAGTAGTTACCTATTTTGTAGTGTGGATTTTTAGAAAATATTCATCAAGTTATATTCCCTTAAAGGACAACCGTCAACAACAACAGGTATGACAACAACTGACCCATGTATTATTCACTAGTGGGATACAGAAACTTTAAACACAAGGGGAGTTTTTCTATCGAAATGCTGATAACAGAAATTTTAGATGCAGATCGAAATATTCCAATATGAATTTTTTAGCTGATATCAATTCCAGATCAGGAATTCCCTTTTAAATTTTTTTTTTGGATGAAAGAGCAGTAGACCTCAAAACAGGGAGTCTGAAATGTAATTATCGAAACCCCCCCAAGTGGCATTAATCTGATTCTATTGATACCTTAGGTTTTGGTAAAGTCCCCTTCTGCACCACTAGTCTAAACTACCCAATAACTTGACAGTTCATCAATTTAACTGTGCAATGGTTTACTTTTATAACATCGCCCATTTGATGTACTCCATAAACCTCTTTATGCACATCTTTGCCAGTATAGCCCAAAAGAGTACCTCTTACTGTTGGCAGAGTGATATCAAAATCCTCTATCTATTGATAAAGAAAAACACTGGAATTTACCTGATTCAATTAGTGCAATTATGTCATGATTTTTATGACACATTAAAAATTATGTCACTTTATAACGTGAAGATACTAACATGCAGTTGTTGAATTCAAATCATTCCCTTTTTATACCAGGTTGGTCCTACGTTTATGCATTTAAAAAGAAAAGAAGAACAAAAGAAAGACTAAATTTAACCAGGACACCTTACAAGAAATATGTGCAGGACACAATACTGGCCAATGAGTCAAGACGAATTTCATTGCTAGGCGATGCAGGGCAAAAAAAGTTCTGCTTGTGATGATGGAGAAACCGCAAATATATAGAAAAGGTCAACGGTCAAAAGAGGGTATTGGTAAACTTCTTCGCATATGTGCCAAAAACTTTATGTGAAAGAAAGTATACTCTATATAACTCAGAAGACAAAATCCTGAAAGGTGAACCCTATCAGCAGTTTCATGCTGTGGGTTAAAAATCTGCCTGGAGCCGCAAAAATGTAGAAGTCTTATGTAAGCCTACTATGGCAACAGGGACTCTAAGTGTATTAACCCATTTTAATAAGGGACTACATAGGCTTAAATATATAATAGGCATTCATGATTCAATTTTTATCCTAGAGCAAATGTCACATCATGTGACTACGCTGCTGTATGATATTTGGTGCTGTAAGTATAAACTCCATTACAATATTAATCTATTACAGGGGAGTTGCGGCCTAGTGGTTAGGGCATAGAACTTGGAACCCTGAGGTTCTGAGTTCGAGCCTCACTCCCACAGACTGCCACTCTGAGTCCCTGAGCAAGACTCTTAAACCCACACTGCTCCCTGGGCGCCACACAATGGCAGCCCACTGCTTAAATGCAAAGAGTTAATTTCTCCAATGTGAGATCAATGAAGGTAAATTTCTTTGAACTGGAAGAAAGTTCCATCACTGCATCAGAGCGCTACCTGTTTGATCTGTTAACGGTTTTCTATGCTTGCAACAAAACTAGCAAGAGTACTGGAGTTTGGAGATGCACTCAACTTCTCAAATCTATCTTTGGTCTCCTCTAATTTATCCAGAAGGTCTGCAATCTAACTTTCTCTCTCACTCCCAACTCGGTGGTCCCCTGCATATGTAGCATGCCTACCCGGGAAATGCCTATCCAAGTGACTCTTTTTATGATTTGGTATATATTCAGTCCATTCTTCTTTGAATCCCCTGTTCTCATCAGCTATCTTCCTTTTTGTTGTTTAACCTTTGGTATCGATGGAATGAGACAAATCCACCGCTTTGTTTACAACAGCCACGTGCCTGGCACCGCGCCGTGCTGAAAGATGTGTTGCAGGCTATGAAGCAAATCTTCCTTTACAGAAATGTTTACATTTATTGCTTAAAGTTATTTATTAGGAACAATTTTTACAGCATTGGAAAACATAAGGAATATTTGTTTGACCTCCTGCAAACTATATTTAAAAAATCAAACCAAAAATCCATCTTTTTCCATTTTAAAACATTTTTAAGAAAACTCATGGGAGCCGCAGGGGCGGGCAATAGAATCTGTCTTTAAAAATGGCTGCCATGCAGTCAAGCAGCCCAGCCCGCTGGCATGTTGCTTACTGGACAAAAACCTATATTATTGCTATGAAGCATGTGTTTTTAGAACCATTTTTAACTTTTATTTTTCTTTGCAAAAGAAAATAAATGCATTTTACATTGATAAAACCAACATTTTGTGGTAAACGTTTATTGCATATAAGTTTAATTAATGTGCTTGATTCAAGTTTACTTAAATAATTATATCACTAACATTTAGAACCGTTAAAAGTTCCTCTTTTTTACAGAGAATAGCTCTAAAGGAATCCCTGTTCCCCCTGCTCTGTTGGTTAAATTAGACATTTCATCTGACATCAGAGTGAAAGATCTACGCCGACTGATACGTGCGCCCCATCTGTGATATTTAAAGGGCAATGACAATCATTTTAGGAATTAATTTACATTTTTAGTCCCTCCGGTTGTTTTTACATTTTTTCAGCCACCACGTCTTTGTAAAATGCTGGTAAACACAGATTACAATACGACACCTTTTTCCTAATAAAGAAATGTCTCACAACAATTTCAGAATAAATTCTTATGGAATAGATCATCCATGTCACCCTCGAACCAAACGATGTGGCCTTATCTGCTCAGGGGAAACCATTTCCTTGTTAATGTCCTGGGAGCTTTATGTCATTGTCATATGGCAGATAGGTGAACCCTTCTCAGTTTCTGTCTTTCTTTTAATTGGCTGTAGGGAACATTTGTGACTGTTAATTAATATGGACAAAGCTGGGCCTGGAGCAGACAAGTCCAGCTCCTCTCACATGAACCTCTGTGATAGCGTGAGTGGAAAAGTGATCTGATTTGTCTCATCGCTCACAAATTGGCAGGCAGTAATGATGTTGTTGTTAGCTGATGCACAGCACCTGTGAAAAGATAGACAGAGCCACCTTCTTTACATCCGTGTGTACGTGTGTGTGTGTTTACACTCCCCACAGTGCATACAAAATGGTTTAGAGGCAGAGGAAAGCTGGATGCATCAGAAATATGGTTAATTACCTTAGTGTGTGAGTCAGGGGAAATTGTCCCCTCTGTTGATAGGTTCATCGGATTAAAAATGGAGCTTGTAGCGGCAATCTTTTGAAGAAGCTCATCTATAAATCTGATTACCGGTAGGTTAACAAGCCTGTTTTGGTTTGTTCATTGACAGGCCAGGGTTAGACAGCAGGCATTTTTCTTTATGACAAACTAGGTAAATACAAAACAACCCAAGTAGTTTTCAGGTTTGATGGTAGAAGTTTTAAAACCAGTGCAGTCTTTCTTTTAGGATGTTATTTAACTGTGGTGGTGGGGAGCTATGTCATCGAAATGCAACTCACCTTAACATGACTGTGTGAGATAATGTAGGAATTCTTATTCTTCACCTGAATCCACGCTGCATACGTCTAATTTGACCAAGCAGACGGTAATCTGAGACAAATAAGGGATTTAGGCTGTGTGTTAACCAGGTTATTATTTCAGTGCAAAAAGATTGAAAACTATATTCCCATCAAATTTACTTCCTGCTTTGTAATCCAGGGCAAAATTATTGGTAGTTTTTTTGTATGTTTTACATTAGCTGTGGGAAAACAGAGAAGGTCTCCTTTCTGCTCTCTTTGCGCTGTCTGCATTAGGGGCTTTCAGGACGAGGCAGCTACCTGTGAGGAAGCGCTGAGGGAAGTAAGGAGAAACCCATGGCAGCTCTGGCTGCAGCCATCAGACAGTAAAAGCCTGAACATAACAGTTTCATAAGACCTTTTAATCTTCAATCCGCTTTTTTTCCATGTCACACTGACCTTATATAGAGAGGCTCCGACTAGGCAGGATGAGCAGTTCTGCGCAGATTATTTTCTCTTCTGTTTCTGTGCTATACACACATTAAATTAATTTCCCACATTTGACTTGGACAGATTATGAAAAGTTATTTCAGAAAATAGAGGGGGGGGGGGGGGGGGGGAACGGCGCATTATATAAAGCACAGCACCTCTAAACGAGTCTGTGCAGCATCTCAAACAAGAGCAGATAGACAATGTTCATATATCAAAAACAGAAAAACACAGCAATAAACGCTGTGGGACGGTTTCTGTGCTGACTGAGGCAGAGAAGTGATTCTCAGAGAGAGATCTGGGAAGTTTATCCAAGTTTTTCTTTCTTTTTTTCATAAAGAGGTGAGAGAGATACACTGGGCTTCCTTGTTCTGCCTGCCCCTCATTTTTTTCATGAGGCTCAAAGAGAATCACTACTTTATCAGTTTTCTGTCCTGAACTCCTATTATGGGTAAAGTTTTATTTTCTATTGTTTCTTTTTTTTTTCTTTTTTTTTTTACAGTGTCCTGTCTGGCAATGTGGCAATAAGAATAATTGTCTTGATGCCAAAAAGAGCCCAACAGATTTTACTTTCACAAGTGCAGCAGTATGGCAATTGCCATATTGCTCCACTTGTTTTATGCATATAAATTGCTTTATTATAATTATGCAGGGAGTTTTACAGTTTATATGGACACTGCAATGTAAATAGAGCAGAAAAACAGAAGAAGAAAAAGGAAAAAAGAGAAAAAAAGAGAAAAGATGAAAGAAAGAGGAGATAGAAAGGGGACAATGACAAAACATTTTCAGTCTGCTTCATCACCTGTAACGAGATGAAAAAGGAACAGCACAACCGAAAGACATGGTACGAGATATACAATAAATCAACACCTTGAAACTATCGCTAAAGTAATATTATTAAGTATGACATGTACTCTGTGTTACCTGAAGGTATGAGTGTGGGGTTTCTGTTTGGAAGTGAATCTCTAAGTACCTGAAGCCTAGCACCTGTAGTTGTGTGTGAGGGTGAACTTGTGCATGTAAAGTTTATCCATAGAAAAAAATGCTAAATTTTCTATTGTTTCTAATTCTTTCATAGTTTTTGCACCAGTCTGTCCTGCTTACTACAGTATATATGCGGTGTGTGACTCCAAAACTGACTATTTCCCTGTGCAATTAACTGATTTTTTTTCGTATTTTCCCCCAAAGCGGATGTGTTTTACTTTGTCACCATGTCTCTCATCCTGTCAGACCCATGAAATTGCTGCTGATTGGCTGCGTAGTCCAACTAAACTGGGCTCTATCAAATAGGCCAACCAGAGAAGGTTGGGCCTGTTTAAATACATAGCCAAACTCTTCCAGCCTCCTTATTTTCACGGACCTCCAAGGACCCAGTCTACCTGGTCTGGGTCCTTGGAGGACGCAGCGCCTGAAATCGAACACACCCGATTATGCTACTCCACCGCCCTTGTTAAGGACACTGCCTTTGGTCTGAATGCACCTTAAGAGATGCTAAAAGTTTTTGAGGTTGTATTGAAATATTGTTTTTCTTTTCCACCTATTAAATGAATTCATTTGATAGAATCACAGATAGAAAAGAAAAAGACTAAATACAGAATTTAGGGGTCTATTTCTGCTATTTGATTTTAAGAAAGAATGTAAAAACATGGTATGGATGGAGTATTTAATTCAAAAATAGAGGAAGTATTGCTTATTTACAATCAGTAAGTTGTTGCTGAAATGGACCGAAAGTAAAACCTAAATATTTTTTAAAACATTCACAATGATGAAGCCTCTAAGTCACATTGTCTTCTTCCTAGAAGATATTCTGGCTACTTTCAGCAAACCTAATTATACTTATCTGTATGTGGAGGGTCGGTGCCTGTGGAGTCCCATCAGACATGTTTATTCTGGGAATGTGCAACACTTCCATTATGCATCTCTGTGTCAGTATCTAACAGTACTGCTCAGATGTACTAAGAGACAAACGATCCGTCCATCATGCAGTGGAAATGAAACAGTAAAGCGTTACCAGGTCAGAGGCTTGTTTTATTCCTGGAGAGTGTGCCTTTTTAATCTCCTTTCTAAATAAAAGAATTTTCTTTCATTTTTTGTTCGTCTGGCTCCTTTTACCTAAAGAAAAATCAAAAAGGTTTTTAACATCTTTTATCTGGAGTTGTTCTTTCCAGATTTCAGTTTGTTTGATAAGAAGATTAGTATTCTGCTGTATGTAAAGCCATGAATTCCCCCAATTAAGGGTAAAAGCGTGTATAGAGCTTTAGGTGTTGGAATATATTGGATTTCTTTTCTTACTCAGTTATCAAACATCTCCCTATTTTATCATTCTGGAAATAGAAAGATTGTGTGGAATATGATCAAAACCAATGAATGAGTTGCGGTTGTCAAAGATCTAAGAAGATTGAGCTGAAAGATGTAAACCTTTAAAAATAAATGCTCATTCCATATTTGTTTGGTTTTGTTTATCAGCGTATGGCATCACGTCCTCCTCTAAAAACACACTCTTAGCTTTACAGCAAAGCTGATGCTAATTTATAGGAATCTTAAAAAAACACTTTTAAAAACAAGACTTAGAAGCTCAAAGTTTGATTTAACTTTTTGGATCAAAATTGTACTTATAGTCTCAGATATACAAACATACCGGTACCTATGAAACTTGCTTCTTGTTAGTTTTTGATATATTTCTCACAGGATATTTGGTTAGAACTGGAGCAGATTCTTTATCTTGACTGTTTTGCTGGTGGCTCTGTGAAGTAAAATAATTTATCGTGATGTTTCTTTGCAGCAGTAAGGTCCTTGGAGTGAATCCTGCATTATAAAATGGATGGAGATAACTTTAACTTAAGAAAATGATTTAAACTCATTTTTGAGAACTTTAAGGGGAATCCTTTTTTTTTTTTACATTGGGCCCTTTATTTTACGTTATTACATAATGCTCTGTGTTCAAGTTTTGTGTCATTTGGAGCTGTTCTGAAGATATTCTGTCAGGTTATATCCAAGTAACGTTTTCCTATGGGCAACTAGTTGAAGGAACAAAGGTCCTTGAATCCAAGCATTTTAAATTCTTGCTCCCTGAATTTTAATGTTACATTATCAAATGTTTTGAGGCCTACTAATTGTCCTATGGATCTCTTCTTGTTTTTTAGATCTATGCACATTGACATGAAAACAGGAAGCAGGGCCTATCCATTTCTGGCTGCAACTTGTTGGGATTTGACAACCGTTGGATTTAAAGACGAATCGAGTGATGCCTGTTTGACAGGGTCAGCGCAGAGGGTCTAAACAGACACTAGATTGTGCATTAGTGTTGTACACCGCCCTGTCCTGCCCAGACCATGCTGGCTATACTTGGAGGCCATCTGTTGCCTGCAAACCTGTTAAATCAGAGAGGACCTGCAGCCGTCGCTCGCTGCGCTCTCCTTTGGTGGATGTTATGTTCTTACTGCTCCCTGGCCAAAGCAACAACCCAGAAGTTCTACCCGACTGTGACCACCCAGTTTGGGAAGCTACGGGGCCTCAGGGTGCCTGTGCCCAGCGAGGTCCTCAGACCTGTCGATCAGTATCTCGGAGTCCCCTACGCCGCCCCGCCTGTTGGGGAAAAGCGCTTCATGCCCCCCGACCAGCCATCACCATGGTCGGGCGTCAAGAACGCAACCCACTTCATGCCTGTGTGCCCCCAGAACATCCACAACACGGCGCCGGAGATCATGATGCCCATATGGTTCACCTACAACCTGGACACCGTAGCCACCTACATTCAGGATCAGAGCGAGGACTGTTTGTATCTAAACATCTACACCCCGACGGAGGACGGTAAGTGTGTGGGACAAAAACCCATGATTCTCCTTCCTGGTCCTTTGCTCACTGGCTGCTGCTTCTCTGCAGGATTCATTGCTCTGTGATCACCATGAACTGCAACCACTACTCATGTCACCGCTCCCTCCACAGGCTGGTTTAACATTCAAAGCAACGCCATGTTTTTATATGATAACATCATTGCACAAGCAGTTTGGTTTATGGGTTACACTGCAAAAGCTGAAATCTAAGTAAGCCAATTTATCTTGAAAAAGTGTATTTTCCCTTAATCTGAGCAGGTAAGCCAATATTCCAATGAAATAAGATGATATACGTTGAAAATAAGAAATAAATAACTCTATTATACCATTCCAACAGCATCATATCTAATAGGTGGGTTTCATGTGAAGGTAGAATTCTGCCAAAAGTGCACACATGTAATAAATACTCATATGAGCAGTTTCATTAAAAACACACACGAGACCTACACCTCATTAGTTTTATTTTTATATTTTTATTGAATTCAAGAAAAAAAGTGGTTTAAAAGGGGAAATAATTTTGAAAGTAAAATAAATATATATTGCATAGAACACATTTTCACACCAATAACAAAAACTGATGTTAATTAAGACTAAATAAAAAGTGCTGAGAGAAAATGTTTTGTCATAAAATAAATAAAGAATAAATTGACATGTGGATATCTAGAAAAGTATCCAATCCCAGGTGGTTTACTTTAGTTGGTTCCATCCTCTAAATGAAAGAAGGGGACATTTTAAGTAAAAAAAATACTCATGCCATCGGTAGATCATCTTTTTTAACTCGGCCAAATTAAGGGTACATATACATTTTTGAAGAAATTAGATCAGTTTTAAAGTTTAACATTACACTATGTTATACACTGCAAAAAAGGATTTAAATCTATTTGCGTTATTTGTGTGCTGCTATGATTAGGATTTAAAAATAGGTAAATGTCTGCCAATGGAGCACGTTTATCCCCCTAATACAAGGTAATTATATATTATGCATTTAGAATAACATATAATGTTTTTTCTTCTTTCTAATGTAAATCATTTTACTCCATCAGCTATTTTACTTGCTTTCTTGAATCAAGGGAGATCTAATTATTCAGAAGCACTTTTCACTGTACAGTTTAACTTATTTTTACCTTCCAACAGACACTGAATGTTTTGTCAAACTTCACAAAAAGTAAACAAAGGTATTTTTTAGCTTCGAAAATTTGAAAAAAGAAAAAAAAAATCCTCAGGTTTAAAAGTATTCATAAGGAATAGGAATGGGCTCGTTATGCTTAGGGTTTAAAAAGTTCTGACTTCAAAACTTCCCAGTTTAAAGACCTTTTAATGAGATGTCACAGAAAGTGACAGCAGTTTTCTCTCCCTGTACCGAGCAGAAGGTGATGGGGCTTCATAAGCCCAGCTTGTCGTGGGAGTCAGCGGTGGACAGCTGAGTTTTCCAGAGTAAAGCATAAAAAGAGACGGGTTGCTCAATATATGAGAAAAGAGACAATGGATTAGTTTTACGTGCAGTGCAGCAGTTTTATCAGCTATGATGATACATCTGTTGTGTTATAGCAAACAATAAATGAACCAGTTAAAGTGAGACAAAGGCATGAACAGACCTGGAACGTTTTTTTCCACAGGGACTTATTTAGGTAAAACTTTCATTTATACTGGCTGGGTGTTTTTTATGTGTGAGAGGCTGTCACTGTGGAGGCAGAAACTGAACCATTATCTCCTGAGAATTTAGGTGGAAGCTCCTCACAATGTGGCGTTTTTTCTGTTCATTTTCCTGATATCTGCTTCAGCCACTCTGTGTGTGTGTGTGGATGGGAGGGCGGGGACTTGAACCATTGATTTAGAGAAAGAAAACGCTTTAACCTCTTACACCCTAAGGGGGTATAAATAAATTTCTGCCTGACAAAAACACACAAATGTAAATAACTTATAGCCTCAAAGCTATTAGATTTAAGAAGAAACTTTTGGTACGTCTGTAAAGGTAAGATGTCATAAAATGGTTTTCTGGTGTCAGCGCCATTGTAGCTTTGACCCTGCCTGAAATATTAGGGACAAAATACAAAATATTTTGCATTTTTTGAACCTCTCCAAAATTTTCTTTGAAATAAACATTGCAAAACACTACCAAAATATTATTTATAGCACAAAAAAGTAGTACAGACTTTCGAATCTAAATGTTGTGTAAAAATATACCAAATTTGGACTCAATCAGATGAATCATATTTATTTTAGAATGGTATTAGTGAGAAATTTCTTAGGCGGAGAGGCCATTTTGGCACATTTATCCATAAATGTCACCAAACCGTGCCAAATATGTTTTTTACATCAATACTGGGGGTTTGGTAAAATTACGAGGTCACGTAGCAGCTGGACCCGCCGGTGGGTCCGTAGGGTTCAAGGGGTTAAGCAGGGTTCCCCCAGGTCCTAGATATTTGAAAGTTTTTGAATTTGAAAAAATAAGTTCTGGGCCTTTAAAACTTTTGAACACAGCCTTGAAAAAACACCCGTCCTCAAAAGTCCTTGAATTTTGTTGAACATTTACATTTTCCCATGGGTCCTTAAGATCCATAAAAATTAATAAAAGCCCTGTTGCAAATGTTTTTAGCAACAGCTTATAAACAGTTTAGTGACAGCTTAAACAGTTTCTCTACTGTTTAATAACAAGGGTCAAACAAAAGCTAAATGGAAAAGAGAAAACGTTAAGAGAGTTTATTAACCTCTTAATAAGATGCTGTTGGGTCAGGATGAGAAAATGTTGAAAAAGAAAATGGAAGTAGAAAAGGGAATTATTTTTACGTTATATTTTCAAATTCAGTATTAAATTATAAATTATTAGAACAAATTATAATTCTTCTGTAATACTCTTTTCAGTTTCTGGTCCTCCACATATACTGTATAAGCCTTAAGAAACAAAAACATATTTTTCTTCCTTATGGGACCCTATACAACTGGCTACCAGAGCAGATAACATGACTAATTAACCTGCTAATATTGTCTTGTATTTTTGTTATGTAGAGATCAGCATTTGAAATACCGTATTTTCACGACCATAAGGCGCACCGGACTAAAAGGCGCACTCTCAGTTATGTGTCCCATTTCTGTATTTAACACACACATAAGGCGCACCGGACTATAGGGCGCGTTTTTTATATACAGGTGCATGTCCTCTACTACCTTTAAATACCTCTACTGCGTATTTAAAAATACAGCGGGGGCAAAACTGAGTATGACTGTGCTTTATTCATGTATTTATTACAAAGTATTAATCAAACCTGGCAGCTGGCCGTGAGACAGACACATCGCAGATGACACAGCGCTGTGATCACTCCTAAATTAACTTAAAATCCTGAAACCTGCCGACAGAATATGTTCGCTTTTATTACCGGTATCCTGGTGCCTGCAGCTAAAATTATTTAGATGAAAAACACCTGCCAGCAGCCGCGGTGAACGAAAGGATTTCTCCTGTCGGTGCACCGCTGGTATGTGGGGGTCTGAGCGCCTTCGACAGAAATAGATAATCTGGATGAACTGACTGCAATTATTAAGTTTTCAGGTGGCCTTTCTCCCTTAAAAACATATTAAAACTACTTTATTCCCACTGATCACAGCAAATATAGCTGCAAGATTTAGATTATTTAGATGAAAAAACACCTGCCAGCCACCGCGCTGAAGAGGAGGAGGAGACCAGAGGCTGCTGTTGAATTAAGTTTTCAGGTAGAAAAATACAGCGGAAGCAAAACTGAGTATGATTGTGCTTTATTCATGTATTTATTACAAAGTATTAATCAAACCCATCAAAGTCATCATCCTCTGTTATCCTCAGCATTCCTCTGAATAAAACAGCTGCGCTAAATCAGACATGCCAGTTTCCCCTTCTTCGCTGTCAGAGTCACTTTCCGTGCAGCGCAGCTCCTCAGAAATAATGCCGGCTTTTGCGAAAGCTTGAACAACAGAGCCAGCAGACACAGTCCATCTACAATCTATCCGCTAACGGTGGCGTAACTTGCCCGGCGCTGCCTTCCATTTATCCTGAAACTGTGGTCTCAGTCTGTCATCCATCGCTCCCACGCCGCTCGCAGCCTTACTTTGAACGGCCGCTTCACACCGATGTCGAGCGGTGGAAGTTCCTTTGTCAGACCCCCCGGGATAACGGCGAGCACAGCGTTCATTTGATTCATCTTTTTTTCACATCGGCTGTGAGATGGGCACGCAGCGATGGTGATGCGTGGAAAAAACCACCTAGTCTTCTCACATACACCTGCCTCAGCCACGCATCCACCCAGCCTTTTCATTTGCGTTAATATCATCAGAGCGCTGTGTCTGTCTCGCTGCCAGCTCCCAGATCTGCTTCTCTGATTGGTTGATGCGGCGCGTCCAGCAGCAAAACTTCAATTTTTCCATCTGAGCTGCAGCAGCGCGTTGGCGGTGCGTCAGATGCTTAAACGCTCCCGACGTGCTGCACCAAAACGCGCTGCGGGACCTTTTGCTGCACCTATACGCGCGTCAACCATTGACTTTGCATGTAAACTCGCTGCTTCTGCTGCACCTGCTGGGTCCGGTTCACACCGATGTCGAGCGGTTGAACAGCGAGCACAGCGTTAATTTGTTTCCCCATGTTTTTCACATCAGCTGTGAGATGGGCACGCATGGAGTTACATATTAACAGCGATGGTGAGGGGTGGAAAAAAAACACCTGGTCTCCTTACATTCAGCCACTCTTTCATCATCTCCTCAATGAGGTGGTCTCAAAAGTCGCAGTTACAACACACATAAGGCGCACCGCACCATAGGGCGCACCGCACATTTTGAGGAAAAAAAAAGACGTTTAAGTGCGCCTTATAGTCGTGAAAATACGGTAGTTAATAAGGGCACCAGGTGTTTTTCCAATTGAAATTAATATCACTTTGAATAATATTTGTTTTTTTTTTTATTTAAAATTAACCATATAGTGCTACACATTGTGTTGATTAGGGTGTGGTGGATAGTGGTTAGGACATAGAACTTAGAACCCTGGGGTTTTGAGTCCGAGCCCCACTCCCACAGACTGCCACTCTAGTTCTCTGAGCAAGACCTTCAACCTCACACTGCTACCAGGGCACCGCACAATGGCAGCCCACTGCTCCCCAAGGGGATGGGCTAAAGGCAGAGGTAAATTTCTCCAATGTGCGATCAATAAAGTTCAATTCCTATTATTATTATTATTATTATTCAGTTGTATAAATACTATAACTTATTTTAAATCTCATCTCAGCCCTTGTCATGTAAGATTTTCCTAAAAATAAGTTTATTTTGTTTAAATCCATTTTTTTTTTGCCAAAATATTCTGCTCAATAACGAGTCACTGCTTTGTTCAGTGTGTCTGTTGGGGGCCAATTAAGGAAGCGCAGGAGTCAACTGTCTATGGCGTGTTGAATCCTTTCGTCTTCCTGATCTAAAGCGATCCAGCGAGGGAAAATTTTTTGTGTCTGCTGTTAGTCTGCAGATTAAGAGAACAATGTAACATGGCAGTAACGCTGTGCGGTTTAGAAATTCTGCGACAACAGTTTTTTCTTAATTTCTTCATTGAATTAAAGATCCTAATTAATCCAGATTTGCCCGCTTGCAGGACATGCTCCCCTCACAGGCTCCTGTAAAACAGTCAGCATTCAGCATTGAACTGGGTTCTGCTTGTGTTTTTGCCACTCTGCTCTTTGAGACAGTTTTTCTTTCTTTTTTTTTTTTTTTTTTTGATGTGGTAGCATAGCAACAGTCGATAAACAGCTTGTCTGAAAGGGAGCTGTCCAAAATGGTGCAGCCCATGCATTTCATAAAGCCTCTCGCCTGAGTGCTCTCGATAGGCCTGGCCACCTGGCGCAGGAGCTGGTCAATTAAAGTTCCCCTTTAAAAATTTGCTAGAAAAGCTCCATGACCCTCTAGATCTTCATGTTTTGGTCCATTTTAGATGTAACCCATGTAATTAGGGATCTCGATAATAATGCCCTCTTGTTGTTTTCTTTAAAACTAATATGCAGCTCATCTAGCTGTTTGAGTGGATCTTCTGAGGTGTCATACTGAGCAATATTCATTGTTTATATGTTGTATTCTGCAGTGGTTTGTTTGAGCATTAGACATTGCAGTATCAGACAGCATAAATGAAAGATTCACCTTTGATTAATCTCACGTAATGAATCATTTCATTTCAGTTCCTGAGTGCAGAGTTATGAAAGTAATCCCCTCCTTACAGATTTAAAATGTTTTTCACTTTTTTGTCACACTATAGATTGTTAACAAAATTCATTATCTGGGAAAGCTATAGTTTATATGATTTCACTTTTTTGTCACACTATAGATTGTTAACAAAATTCATCATCTGGGAAAGCTATAGTTTATATGATTTGTTACACAAGAAAGCTATCCAAATTTATCTGAATGAATATAAAATTGATTCTCTACTTTAAAGAATCATAGCTTAGATTTTCTTTATGCAGAGTCCAGTTTGTTGAGCCGAACCCAACATCAATTACTACGGTGGCTATTAGTTGCAAAGGCTTCGTAAATGTCATATCAAATTCAAAAGAAATGAGACTAGCAAAAGACAAATACAGCACTAACACAATAACACTATAAAAAAAATTATATAAATAAGTAATATTTTCTTTAAATAAGTGTATTTCATATTTTTGTTTTTAGTAATTAAAAAATTGCCAATTGAATAAGCCAATTTATGTTTAAAAATAATAAGAAAAAAAAACTCCCTTATCTTATTTCAAGTGGATGATATCTTATTATTTATTATGTTGTTCAAAGTACAGAAATCCTCATTCCACTGTCATTGTATTTACCTGCTCAAATTAAGGTCCAAAACACTTATTCTAACAAATATTTACTTATTTTTAGATCGGTCTTTCCAGTGAATCAGTAAACAGACAAAACACATGCAAAGGAAAAATTCTGCAATTAGGAAGAATAACTGCAAACCAGTGCGTTAAAATGCACAAGCTCCAGACCATCAGGGGGAGACAATCAGTAAAGGCATAAACGGGATGCTTAGAGAGATTAAACTTATCTAAACGATGCAAAGGAAAACTTTGTTTTCTTTCTGCCCTTCAGATGTCCTCTGGGCTACATCCTGTTTAAATCTATGCTAAGGGTCCGGTCCATATACATTAACTAATAAAGTTGTCTCATATGAGTTGATGGTTGTCGCCCCCTTCTATTAGTTCTAGTTTGCAGCCTTCCGACTGTTGTCTAAAGAAAATGCCTATTATTATTATTGTTATAATTACTACAGTAAATCTTTAGCTATTTCTGAATCTTTTTTTGCAGTCTAGTATGTAAAGAAATCAGATGGAAGTAAAATTAGGACTGAAGTACATTTTGTCTTCCTGTGGCCTGATTCCCTAAGCACAGAAGAAATGTTGGTATATTAACAGTATAATTGCTAACTTGGCAAAGGGATTTCATTTAAAATGATTTAACTCGCATGCAGATGCGTGCTGGAGATGGAAGCTTTCAACTCAGATTTTACACATAAACACCCTTCATTTATATTGAGGTTTATTAAATATTTTTAAAAGCTCCTGTACTCAAGTTGTTATGAAAATGTTTTCCAGACATTTATGATGAATGTTTGTAAAAGTGTTGAGAGAACATTCCAGAAATCATTAAAATTAAGGCCCGATGGAGATCTAGGCTGCAGATAAAAGAAAGAACAAGAAAGAACTGTAGCCTAAGGAAAGTTGTACCCTTGCAGGCTGGGCGTCGCCTTTATGGATCTGTGCTTAATCTCTGAAGCGTCTCAGGTCTGAATAAAGTAGTTAGGTGAGCCCCGACCTTTAAATGCAAACCTCAGTGGGAGCCAATCATCCCCACATGAAGAAGGCCCAGGAGAATGTTAAACTATTCCATTTAAATATGTTAAAAAAGAAAGGGTCGGGAGGCCATGAAGCTGGAAATAAACTCTTTTTGTTTCATAGAGGAGCAGCTGTGAGGTTTTCATCTTGTCTATTAGACTGGGAGGAAGAAACTCTCCTCTAGTGGCTGTTGTTTGCAGACAGCACTCTGTACTGCCAGCCTGAAGGTAACAGCTTGTGTCCAGAATGTGTAGGCTCTGCAGAAATACTATGACTGAAAAAGGCCCTGCATGGTGTGAAGGTCAGCTCTGATGACCTTCAGAAAAGCTTAAAAAAAATGGCTAGAAGTTGCCTGTTTAAAATAAAATGGCCGCCCAAAGTAGCTTCACACTCGGGGTTCCCACTAAGGTCAGCCTTGGACCCCAAGAAATAATAATGCAACTGACTAGTGACCCCGAAAAAAAAAAGTGATCACTCTATATTTGAGTTAATTATATAACATTTTGAATAGATTATTTATCTAAAATAACATAAAATTTGGTAATTCATCATTTTAAATGTATTTGAGTATTTAACTTGTTAACCGGCCGCAACAAAATCACAAAGAACGCCTGAAAAAGCATGGATGAAATCCGCACCTTTATGCATCAGTACTGATTTTTCTAAATTTTATTTTATTTTTTTAACAATCTATAACAGATTTAATGATTTAAAATATTTAAAAGATATGGTGTGACAGACATAGCGATTCGGGGGTATTTTTTTATGAGCGAACAAACCTTTTCTTGTTTTAAGAAGCAGTTTTTTTTTTTTTTTTCCTTTAACAGTCTCCTGTTCCTCCACCAAAAATAGATCCTGGCTCTCTCCTCCTCATGCTGCCTCTTTGATCGGAGCGCTATACATTAAAGAAGAGGCACATTCAAAACTACCATGATTTTTTTTTTTTTTTTTTTTTGAATTTTCTACCTCTTTTTTTCCCCTCCTTTCTGAATCCCAGGGAGCCAGCACAAGAAAAGGGGGGCGGCTTTCGCAAACGCTGAGATTCATATATCTGAAGGTATTTCTCTAAGAGCTCAAAGTTTTGATGCATGGATTCTTCTTCCTCAAATCTTTTTTTTCTTCTTCTTTTTTTTTTACCTTTTCCAGACGACTGTTGTTGTTTTTTTTTTCTTTCTTTGAGTGACATGAAATAAGGTCATCTGATTTGTAATGCTGTAGGCTTTCTATTAGTGCATCCCCTGTCCTGAATTAGGAAATGTTGCAGTCGTCTCAGTAAGTGCACCATCTCTGTTGTTCCACAGACTGAATTATCTGCTCATCTCTCTTAAAAGTCTCTCTAAAAAACTAATTTGCTTTAAAAAAAAAAAAAAAGCAGAGACCAGAAGTTTAATGTAAACTCGTGCTTCTGAGTTCAAATACACAATAGAAAAAGATCATGTTTTATGTCTGCATGTGCATATTATATATTGATACTATGTGTTTCTCATTGCTTGGGTCAAACCTTTTCTCCTCTTTACATCTGATACAGAATATGTTTGATGAATTGCATATGCAAGTTTGCTTTGGGTGACACCTCCATATTCCATAAAGAACCATTGATTAGATTCATAACTCTTGTCAGAGTGTATTTACAGGGCATGTTTTGATTGTCATTACAGCTTTTATAGCTCAGGCCTACCGCTCTGGCTCGCTTCCAAGCACATTTTCTTAGCAGACCTCTCTCATACCTCATACCGGGCAATGTGATATAAAGTTTCAGCAACACTTCTCCATTAATTCTCCACTTCACTGCTGTTGTACCTTCACCTCTTTGCTCAGGTTGTGCGTGTGTGTTACAGATATAAGGGATTCGGAAGCCCGACCTGTGATGGTTTACATCCACGGAGGCTCCTATATGGAGGGCACTGGGAACATGATGGATGGCAGCATTCTGGCCAGTTATGGGAACGTCGTCGTCGTCACGCTCAACTACAGGATCGGAATATTAGGTGATGATACAGAGTGTGTGTTTGGAGTGAATCTTGTTCCTTTATTAATGAAAAAAAAGAACTTTTAAACTAGTTAAATGAAAATTAAGAAATAAAAAGCAATCCAGAAATGAAACCATACCAATGCTGCCTCATCAAAAAAAATTATTTTAAGAGTAACTTTACTGTTTTTTCACATTTAAGTTTTTGCTCACACCAATAATGGAAAAAAATAGCTCCATATATGTGAAAACTGGCCAGTCCACAGTTGAATAGGGACCTAAGCAGGGTTTGATTTGGGAGCCCATTTCTAGATAAGATCAGGGAACCAACGTCGCCTAACGGGCCTAATGGTCAAAATGAACATTAACTAGAGCAATAAAATTGTAATAAACATAGAAATAAAATATCACTTTTCTTGCCTTGAAATCATTGATTTAATTTAAACAAGTGACATTTATTTTTATTTTTTTTATTTCCTTTATTTAACCATGTAAACCCCGTTGAAATCTGGATCTTATTTTCAAGGGGGACCTGGGCAGAGATCTGCATCATTTGATGAATGATATTTGTTGTAAAAAAAAGTTTTTATGATCTATTATGAAAGAAAAATAATTGGTCTTTCAGGCAGGACTGCAGATGCACAGCCTATACAAACCGTTTCATAAGGCAGGAGATCAAAGAGCAAAAAAGAGGAGTAGCTGGTACTGTGTAGGGTGTGTATTGATCATTGAGAGCAATGGTCCAATTCTCACCAGAAAACTCTCAAACTGACCTTTACTGAACCAAAACTAGTCCTGGAAACTATTGTTGTGAAATCAGAAGTCTTTCATAAGCCAGAACTGCCTATCTTCTTCTCCTAACTAACAGAGCTAAGACTAACTCTTGCTTGTTAGCATGATTTAGATGCATATTCGCAGATGACAACACAAGTGAGCGCCAATCCTCTGTGAACCCCGCCGCAAATGAAGCACAAAACTTGTCCTGTCTGAAAGGCCCAAAACTCAGTGATGAAAATGATTTCAACAGCAGAAAATGAATGTATTACACTGTAACAATGTATTCAAAATGACATTCAACATAATGAGAATTTGTAAAAAAACAAACAAAAAAAAACTGCTTTAACACCAATATTTACAAACACATAACTCAGTAATAAAAAAGGTATTTATACCTGCATGTTTATTTTATGAAAACTGTTAAAGGTAACTAAGCATGATAACCTTAAGTTAAGGTTTTCTTAAAGAAAATCCGCCTTGAAATCAGCCCTGAATGCAGCATTGTTTAAGACTTAGCATTAACATAATGGCTTAATGTAGCAAATATATTATATATATATATATATATATAAGACCAATATATTGTGATGACTTCAATAAAATTGTTATTCTGAGTTCATCTTAGAAATAGGTTGTAGAAGCTGTTATTTGTGCATGTGCAAGCAGATATTTATCCAAAATGGCTTCCTCTCATTTTTCTCCACTTAGAAATGTATGTTGGCTGTTTGGAAGTATTTCTAGCCATAAACAGTATAATTATGGTAGGAAAAGTACTCATTTATATCCTTAAATCACCAATGATTACTTAACTACATGTAAAAATATATCAGAACTTTTCTGAGACAATATTAATCTTTTTACATTTTCTCCATTAAAGTGCTTGTCTGATCTCATCATCGGACATGCACAGACCAGTCCAGGAAAATATGATTACACCGTGTGTATCTGCATTTGAGTTGATTATTTCTTTAGATTATGCATTTTATTTTATAAGGTTAAAAAGAAGGCAAAAGTAAAACTCGAAAAGACTATATTTATGTATAAATACAAAGCTGAAAAAGTTAGCTCCCTTAAGTAGCACCATTTCCAGGATGGAACGCCCACAAATGAGTGCTAAAACAGGAAGAATTTAAATGCATTTAAATCAAATAAATTATTAAACTTTTTTACAGTGCAGTTTGGTATGTGTTTTTGGGGGAAGAAAAACAAAACATAGAGAAACACATAAATTAGGGTGACCATATTTTCATTTTGAAAAACCAGGACACCTTGGAGCGGGGGGTGGCGGCGGGGGATCTCTGTTCCCATGCATAGGCCTAGGTAATCCTACAATAACATGATATTAACAGTTGATTTATTAAAAATGCTTTTCAGTAAAAGTCAGCAATAACTCCAATAACAAATGATAATTTTATTCAAAATGTATTTATTAAAAATGCTTAACAATTCCTGTAATGAATGAATAGCACAATGAAAGAAATAATGTCTCATCTAAACATCCCTCACTTAACAATAAAAGTTAACAATAACTCTCAACTCCCAATATGATGATACTCAGCCTCAGCAATGAACGAAATAATGTCTGTTCTGTAGGTTATTGGGAAAAAATAAACAAATGAGCTAATTAACAAAAAATACCTCTTTTGTAGCAAAAATAACTCAAAATGTACCAAAAACGAACAAACATATCAATAGAATATCTTGACTTTCGGAGTCCAGGTGGCTTTTCAGATCCCTTGCACCTCCATTGGACACCGAGACATATGTGCCTGCTTTGCACACTGTGCACAAGGCCTCCCATTTGTCTCGATCCGGTCTGAAAGCGGGGAAACTCTTTTGTAAATCGTTGGTAAACATACACTTGTGCCTTTGCATGTTGTTGGCATACTGACAGCCACGCAATCTATATTCTGATTAAGAACAAGGCTGCCTGCACTGGCGCAGCTCAGGGGTGACGTCACACGCAGCGTCGTGCGCAGTGCCCTAGCGTCTGTAAATTTAATGGTCCAATGAAGGTAATTTAAAAAAAACAGGACATTTCCTCACTTTCTAAAAAAAAACCCGGGACGCCCAGGACAGGAGGTGAAATACGGACATGTCCTGGGAAATACGGACGTTTGGTCACCCTAACATAAATGTTAGGCACTCAAATACCATTTTTTTTTTTTTGCATTTATAAACTGCTATATAAACAGGCTAACCTGCAAAACTGGTCGTGTCAGCTAGCTAAAAAATGGCTTCCTCTCATTTTTCTCCACTTAGAAGGAAAATGTATCTTTGCTGTTTGGAAGCATTTCTAGCTCTTAACCTTAACCAGCTTATTGGGGAAAACATATAAAAAGATGCAAAAAATTCTGTTTTTAAGATTTGATCAGTGAAAGACACAGTCTTATCTAACAGATAACCTGACCAATTAACCAGCTAATATTTGTTTTACTCGGTAAAATAATTCCACCAAATAAGCAATAAGTAAATACCTACATAATATTTAATGTGTTGTTCTTTAAGCATCATAACAGCTTTGCATCCTCGCCTTATGAACCACAGTTTGCAAAGCTTTGCTCTGACAGCATTACCTGAAATTAGTGGATCTTTTTATCACTATAGAACAAAAACAGCTCAAATATACGTGAAAATCTAAGCATGTTAGGTCTATGCACCACTGAAGGAGTCTGTGTTATTTCTTTAGAGGAATAAAAATGCAAATGCTCATCAATTCTCTCTGCCTAAACTCCTTGTTGCAGTTGGTTTATTTTTTGTCCAGAGATTTATCTTATCAGTACAAGATTATCAACCTTTCTTCTTCTTGAGAGTGAAAATGCTTTAGATGATAAATGCTGCAGCATTTCTGATCATTTACAAGGTCAGTGCTCCTGTTAACCATTCATGGGATTTTAAATGCAGCTACAGTAGATGGGAGAGTACCTGACAGGATGGAGAGAGGCTCTGAGTTTAACACCATTCATGCACGTGGGATGAAATAAAGTGACCGATCTGAAAAAAGAGACTCAAAAAAGGGAGACACAGCAGGAGAGAACAAAGTCGCATTTACACCTGAGGGGGAATCTGTTTCTGTTCTCTCAGGCTCCCTGCTGGGCAGCAGCCTTGGATTAGAGATGCGACTCCTCTATAGTGCACATAGACCTAACCTAAGCATTGGATGTGTTGCTTCTCTGTTTTCTCCAGGTTTCCTCAGCACTGGTGACCAAGCAGCAAAGGGAAACTATGGCATCCTGGATCAGATTCAGGCCCTGCGGTGGATAAGTAAAAACATTGGCTACTTCGGAGGAGATCCGGGCCGCGTTACAGTCTTCGGATCTGGGATTGGAGCTTCGTGCGTCAGTCTGCTGACCCTGTCCCATCACTCAGAGGGTAAGAATATAAAATATGCTTTACCTCTTCAGTTAACAATAGCACACCAGACTCCAGTCATCTCATCAAGTGAGTCCAATCTGAACATTGATGAGATGACTGGATTCTGGTGTGCTATTGCTTGGTTGGAAAGAAAACCTGCAGCCCCACGGCCCTTTCTGGAACCAGTTTGACACCCCTGATCTAGACCATTCAATACAAACTGGTTGTTATTGTTGCTTCAAATGGCTCTTTGAAAAATAATGCAATCCAGAAAAGAAACTTTGAAAGATATCGAAATAAAAACAAAAAATGTGTCATGATTGTTTTAAGAGATCTGACCCACATGCAGAGAACCACTCAGAGAACCAGGGGAAAAGTTAAACAGGTTTATTGAGGAAACGAGAACAGGAGTTGGATTTGGAACTCTTTGAACTGGTGAACCGGAACTGGAAAGTCTGTAGGGGAGATCACAGTGATCAGCTCAGGGACCGTAGGAAAATTGACTGAGGCTAGAATACTGTTGGAGCGGGACTCACGTTTGAGGGGGTTCTTGTTAATCCTTGAATCCAGTCTGTTTGGGTTTATCCAGAGAAGAGGGAACTCGTTGGAGAGCGGACAGGTAAACATTCGTTGGACTCGGAGGAGCAATGGAGCGGACTATCAATTGGATTTCCGAAAGGGACTTGAACGGCACATGTGGGTGTTTTCCCCTGCTCAGTGTAAACTCAGTTAATCCTTCCAGTGGGAAAAGGCCAGTTGTCCAGTTACACAGGAAGGCTTCCTGCCGAAAGGCAAAGACAAAAAAAATGTTAGACTCAGAGAAACAAAGGCTCAGGTTACACTCAGCTAAACTCAGCTTGGCTAGAGTACCCAAAATTGGCAAACACTCTGGCGTCGAGGTAGTGACAGTCCACTGCTTAAATACTCCACCAGATAATGATCCAACGAGGTGTGCAGGGAGGCCCAACGAGGACGGGGCACCACTTGGTGGTGGAGAGAAAAAAAAACACAAACAACCCACACAAAGTGGATTCCTAACAAAATGCGATAGACTTTGCTGCTTTCTTAGATTGTTTATTTTTTTATTTTCTTCGAATCTCCATTTTTCAGATCGAGTTTTAGAAATCACATTTGCTTTGCTGTAGCCTGAGTACAAACGCTCGCTCTTGAGGCTCACATTGATCACATTTTTGCTAATGTGCGTTTAAACCAATAGAAATGTACCTTTGCTCTTCACTCCAAAGAATGAAATTCTTAAAGATACTGAAAAAAAGAAATTAAAAAATGTTATTTAGAAATTTTAAATTCTGTAAATGTAAATGTTTTTTTTTTCTTCTGATTAAGGAGTTTTTCAATGTGTCATTTCTGTTTTTTCTTTTTATCTGTATTTACGAAAAATATTTTCTACTTCTAAAAATAATAAAGCTATATTCCCTCCATAGAACTCAAACAATGTTTCATGCATGTTTTAGCAGGGAGATGAAGTGTCATGATGACAGGGTGGGTGAGATGGGATATTTATTAAGTAAGTGACTGCTTTTGTTCCTCTCCACACAAATTAATCCTCCTAAAGAAGCCTGATTTTTATTTAAAGTTCTCAGCATACCAGCGCGTCAATATCCAAGATTATCACCAATAGAACTGATTTGCTTTCAAGATGGATCTGTTTATTATCGCGTGCATGTCAGCAAAGTTGAATAGTTACCAAAAACGGCGGGAAGTTCTCAACAGTTGGTTCAGTTTTATTTTAAAACATTAGAATAAAGAGCTATTTTCAGTCAACAGACAGCACCGTACAAGAAAGTCTTTAGATATTTAGCGACACATTTACGCTGCTTCCTTTTTATCACATAATTAACACAAAAGGTGAACAATTTTTTAAATGTCATAGAAACACCTTCAGCTGGATTCAACCTTCAAATCCAGTGATGCCTCTGCAGCATCTGGAGATTGAAATATAACATTACCTAAAATATGTCAGGCTGAAAGATCTTAGCACCATCTTTTTGGAGCAATGCTGTGTAGCCTTTTGCCACTAGGCAGGGAGGCAAAATTTGGCTTGTTTACATAAATTCTTTTGGCTCCCAAGCTGATCTCTATTTATTATCTCTGACTTCTTATTTAAGCTTAAGTTGGCAATGTTTTGTATGTTAATAAATCGTTTTGCATTTAACTAAATTTAATTCATTTTATTTATCTTGCCAATTCACAATACATGTAATTTCAGGTCATTTTAAAGAGTCAATTTAACCAGCTCATCCGGTCAGATTGGTTCAAAGTTTTCTATTTAAGGAAAACCAGCTGATTGCATCAACTCATTGACTCTTCAGCAACCTCTCACACTAAGTATGCTTGCAGCGACAGTAGAGAGGAAAACTCCCTTTTAACAGGTAGTAACCTCTAGTAGAACCAGAACCAGGCTCAGTGTAAGCCAGGCTGGGACTTGGAATGATTTTCGGCCCTGGGATTTTTCCATCTACACTGGCCCACTTATGGACACCCCTGCACCTAAGACAGGAAAAGTTAGCCTTTAGATTCAAAACCCCATCATGCAACGTACATATTTTTGCAAAATATTTGAAAATAAATTCGCCAAATATAAGAGCAACATTGTAGTTTGGTTTAAAGAATTTTTATTATAATTTAGTTTGTTGCAAGATTTTACAGTTTAAAGAAATAGAAAATTACACCATATGCCAACCGTCACAAGGATGTGCATGACAAGGAAGGGCTATATATACTCTATGCATCATTTAGGTAGTTAACATTGTATTATTTCTTGATCTCCTTGAGTTATTTAGTGTCACAAGTAGATGCTTCAGCCAGAGAGTAAGTGTTGGGGACGGTATGATTTTAGGACCGGCCCACCGGGCAAATGCCCGGTATCACATATTACTAGTACGATGCCTGGTGTGAGCAGCCATCTGCTAAGGTCGACTGGGGTTCAAGGAGACAGAAGCAGATATAGAAAAGATACAAAAGGCAACTGTCAACCTGCACCACAGATGGCCCCATCCAGGAAACGCACAACCAGGCAAACTAGCTCCGAGCCGGCTCCCATGTCAGAGGATGAAGGAGGGCGCATCCAGTTAGTCACAGTCTGAGAAACAGGACTACACTGAAAAACAGGCCAAGCTCCAACATCTATAAACGAAGATGTTGATGGCAGCAGCACTGCTGATATTTCTCTCCAGGATGGTGTCACAGCCAAACAGGAACAGACCAGATGAACCTGCTATGAGATAAAGCAGAGAGCATAACATTAGAGATTAAACTAACAAATACTGCAGAATGGGAGAAAAGAGACAAAATGATGAAAAGAGGTCCCTTTGTCCTCCAGCAGTCTAGGCCTACAGTAAGTATTTTGGATGAGGTATAAGAAAGGGAGAGCCACAGTGTGGCCAGATTAGTCTTTTTAATGAGAAGCCTAATATCTGTCTAATTAACAAAAGAGGTATTCTTACTTTTTTGTTATACTTTATTCAAACTTTAAGTTTTATTCAACCCAAAAAAGAAATGAACACAGAACAGAACCAAAACAGAAACAAAACCAAACTCCACCTGGCTGTTGCCTAACCTGACAACAGCCAGATGCATGTCTCGCTCCGCCTAGCTCCATGCATCTGGCTGTTGTCAGGTTAGCTGTTGCCCACTCTGTTTGCAAAATGGTATAAGCCCATATCCTCACATGTGACTTAAAATTAGATGTATGCAGTGTTGATTCAGGCAATGTTTAAAAACACATGATTTCATTAAGTTAGGTTAACATATATTGGATTTTAGCGACATAGCCAACCACCAAGGCTAAAAATCCTACAGGAACCCTGACTTTGCTGAGAGAAGGAATGTCTCTGCATCATTTCTGTTTTAATGCTCCACCTGCTCTGTCCCGGAAGTACAATCCATATTGTGCCTCCAGGAGCTAATTTTTAGGTTTTATATTTTGAAATGATTGTGGTCATTTTTGGTTTTATTTCTTTATTACACTGTACTTATAAAGTGTACAGTGCCTGATCAAAAAAATGTCATAACAGAATTCCAGATTAAAGGGGATATTAATATTAAGCATATACATTTTTTTCTGCTGGGTTTACCTGGTTTCTGTCATTATTAAAATTTTACATCATATACTTTTGTGTACTTTTATAAATAAGTACTCTCAATACTGTAATCTTTTCACATCGCGATTTGGATGTATTTCTGGTGCAAAAATTAGCTTATGCTATGTTAGTGTTTTGGTCAAGTCGTCAATTATACAGTCTGGTCCATAGTCGTACATTTTTTGTAATTTCTCTTGTCTGATTCCACTTAAGTTATTGACCATCTCCCTCTAGTGGCCTGGAGCAGATTTTCTTAACTTACAGCTGATTTGCTACACAAATCAGTTATATTTTATATATTTTTTTAAGTATTTGTGTTTTCTGTGCTTTTCATATCTAGAAAACTCTTATGTATTTACTGCGTGTTTGAACCCCTTAGTTTTTTCTGCTAACTCTTGTGTTGAATGGATTATGGAAGACACAGTATAACCTGCAAACTGACATGTTTTTAGCAAATGGTTCTGTTGGTTTTGATTTAGTAAAAAAAAGAGAAATACCAAAGAGAGTAGATATAACCCACCACACTGGGGATGGAAGCTCAGGTAACAAAAGGCTTTGCATTCAAAAGGCGTCCTCTCAGAGCGTCCTGCAGGTCTCAGAGGTCTGTACTTCAGCATGTGTGGCCCTCTCAGAATTGAACCCTCTTATTGTTGATTTACTAATCTTTCAGCTCCCTCACTGATGCTGAATAAAATCAGGAGGGCAGAATTTGCGTGTTCTCGTCAGTGCAACAGAGGTGGTGGGGATTTGTATTGGATGTGCTCACTCGCTGCAGCAAATGGACAAAGACCTCCAGCTGCCTTTGAAGTAGACCGACTCACTACTGCGCTGAAATTGAGAAAAAATGATTTAAAAAATGGAAAAATGGAAAAAAAAAAACCTGCAAAAAAAGTAAAGAAAGTAACCCTGCTGATGCATTTTCCTTTCTCTGAATATAAACTTTAACACAACATTGATATGACTTGTCTGGTTAGGGTTGTGACATTTTTACATGCAAATCCCCCAGAGACAGAGGTGATGCGCCGCATGTAAACAGGTCGAAAGAGCAGCTTGTTTCCTGTATCAACACTGAGGGATCAGGGTTACTGCATATTCAGCTCCCAGCACAGCCCCGGCCCCTGTACAGTTGGCGTCAGCAGTCTGTGTAGAGCCGCAGCTTGTTAGACACACCATATTAACGATTCTACAATTGCAGTATGTTTGCATAGGACTGGTGGAGTAAAAACCTGACGCCTACTCGCTGACACAGTGCTGCAAATTGACCATTAACTTGACATGCCCTGATGTGATCTGCATAGAGAGGAAGACTTATGGTAGAAATTTAAGAAACAGCAGAGGACATGGTAGGCATTTTTATATGTTTCTTTGCTCACCAACCTGCCATCTGTCGTGGCTTCATCAGTCTTTGCTCTGCTGTGTCCTTCTGACGAGTTATCAAAGCAAACCACAACATTCCTCGTTTGCTTTAATCTGGTGAATCCTCTGAGCTCGCTTGAAAGATTTCAGAACAAAATATAATTTTGTGTCTGCTGAAGTGAATGACATTATTGTGGTCAGATTGTGTGTTTCAAGTTGAATTTCATATATTCTAATATCCTTATTAATATAGATAAACACTGATAGATTTTTTTTGGTCACTGACTTCAATTTAAAACAATTTCTTTATAAAGCAGTTTGATAACTTACATTTGCTTTTGGTAGATTCCTAAGTAATGAAGCCTTAAGCTTGACACTCTTTTCCCCTCTTTAATCCTCTTGAAGGTGGAAAAAAACAGAGATCAAATGGGATCCTCTCCGTTAGGTTTAACCATTTACTTAAGAAATAAAAACAATACAGGTATAAAACTTCTATAAAAATAAAACAATAAAAAAGATTGGGAGGAATGTAAATGACGTCAGAAAATGTTGTGGCTCCAATTACCTGGCTAACACTGAAGCAGAAGCCCTAAACATCCAGAGACAAACCGTGCACATTTGCAAAAGAACCTCGGTGCAATTAAAAATATTGCATATCCTTAGATATAAGAAACCTTTAACTTCTGATATACACAGTAATTTATTGATGATTTCTTTTATCATAACTTAAACTGAATTTAGGCTCCTACACTTTTATCTTGCAGTGGTTTAGAATTTCATACTTCTTTGTTTTTTACAGGTTGTAATTTTACGTTTAAGGCAGTCATTTTACGTTTAAAAATAAGAATGAAAGGAGGTAGATAAAAAATATAATATTGAAAAAAAAAAACTTAAAGGGATAGTTCGGTATTTTTGACATGAATCTGTATGGCATCCCCATCACCAGTGTCTTGCAATCACACTGACTTACCCCTGGCAGCATCCTGTGAGCAGAGTTCTCGTCCAGCTTTGGTCAAGCCGAAAGTAGTCCGGCAGGTTTGCTAGACCCAGCGAAATAAAACGTTTCTCTTCTCAAAACATTATGTGTTCAAAAGAGCGATATTTTTGCATCCCAAAAACATTGTAGTGGAAAAAGTCACACGTCGTTATCACTTGGTCCTATTTTCTCTCTGTTCGTATCAGTGCGCGCCGTCATTCTGACAGCTAGGGCCTACTAACCTGACAACAGCCAGATGCATGTCTCGCTCCGCCTAGCAGCTAGGCGGAGCGAGACATGCATCTGGCTGTTGTTGAGCTCGCTGTCAGAATGACGGCGCGCACTGATACGAACAGAGAGAAAATAGGACCAAGTGATAACGACGTGTGACTTTTTCCACTACAATGTTTTTGGGATGCAAAAATATCTCTCTTTTGAACACATAATGTTTTGGGAAGAGAAACGTTTTATTTCGCTGGGTCTAGCAAACCTGCCGGACTACTTTCGGCTTGACCAAAGCTGGACGAGAACTCTGCTCACAGGATGCTGCCAGGGGTAAGTCAGTGTGATTGCATGACACTGGTGATGGGGATGCCATACAGATTCATGTCAAAAATCCCGAACTATCCCTTTAAACCAGGACTTAACTGGTTAAAATAAATTTGTTTTTATTCAGTTTATTTCTATAGCCCTAATTCACAACATATGTAATCTCACGGCACTTTACAGAGACAATTCAATCGGATCATCTAGTCAGATTAAAGGTTCAGCTTTTTGTCTAAATCAGCTGATTGGATTTAGTCAGGTAACTTTGCAGGACACGCTACTCCTGGATGAGCATGCAGAAACAATGGAGAAGAAAAACTTCTTTTCTTCTCCTTTTCACAGAAGGAAACCCCCAGTAGAGCCATGCTGTGTGAACGGCCTTCTGCTGAGGCCGGCCAGGTTTCAATGAGATAGAAGCAGACATACAAAAGGAACATAGAAGCACTGATCCGCAAACACGTATAATCTCAGTGTAATACAGGTTTCTGAAACCAAAGGAAAAGAGAAATATTGGTGATTAAGGCGTGGAGAGGTTAAACTATCCTATTTCAACAAGCAGTGATGGTGATACAGGCAGGAATCAGGTATCAGATATTCAGTGATACCAGACCACTTTTATTTATAAAGCACATTCTTATAACAATACGGTTCAAGGAAGAAGAGGCAGACACACAGAAGGAAAATAAAAAAGTAACATAAACTAGCTCCATAGGGGGCTCGGCCTGGGAAAGAAATGGTTAACCAGATGAGCTCTGAGTCAGTTTTCATGTCAAAAAGGATAAAAGAGAGAACATCCAGTTAGTAAAAGCTGAGCCCATAATTATGTCTAGGACAGAAACAGGACTAAGCATTGAGAAACTAAGCAGCTTTACTGAAAACTTTTAAGTTTTCTAAACCTGAAATATGGGAAACTCTGAGTTTTCCGTTTAACTGAAACCTCTGTTTCAGTCACCATAGTAACATTCTCCCCATAGCTAATCTGGTTGTGAGCATCCTCTGTCTCTGCTCTCCCTACAGCCAATCACATTTTAAAATTTCCTGATTTAGTCTAATTTTTGCCGTAGTTTTATGGATAAAAAAAAAAAATCATTAACTAGGTCAGTTAGACACATTAGCTTTTAAAAACAAACATTGCATATCTGTTTGACCAGGATCTTATCAAAGAATGATCGGCATTTTTTCACAGAGATTTAAATATTTGTAGGGAGAGGATTCTACAACTCAGTGACAGGAAAGGAGATTTATGTTTCTTTGGTTTGTTTAATATGAGTCCGATGCGGATAATTTTTATTTATTTTGTTATATTTACATTATAGAATACATGAAGAACTAATGAAATAATTTTCAGATTACACATAAATAGACTCAATAATTCAGCAGGAGGAAAAGGAATAACTTAAGGGTTAGGATTAGGATTCACTTGGTGATAACAACCTACCGAGTCTACTAGCACAATCTGAAGCCATTCTATGGGACTGATAGCCACTAATAATGACCATTTATTGGTATGATAACATCTGAAGTGGCTGCAAAAAGACATTAAGTATTTACTGTGTAAAAGAAGACAGAATCTCTTCTGGATTTAACATGAAGCCATTGAAGAGAAGCTAGGATAGGAGAGATATGATCTCTCTTTTTAATTTTCATCAGAACTCTGGCTGCAGCATTTTGGCTTTTAACTACAGTTTGTGTAGTTAAAAGCCTGATTGTAAAGAATTACAATAGTCCAGCCTTGAAGTAACAAATACATGGACTACTTTCTAACCATTACCCCTGGAAAGGATATTTCTAATTTTTGCAACAGACTAGTGTTGGAAGAAGAATATTTTATAAAAAAGGTTAAATGTTTTAAAAGTTTAGAAGATAAATATTGTCATTGTTGTACAGTTAGAATGATATTTAAAAGTGATATCATATATAAGGTGTAGAATTTACAGCAGAGGAAAAAAAAGAAAGCAGAATTAGTATTACTGTCATCCTGCATATGTGTAGATGTCGTTTGCAGAAAGTAAAAACAATCCTAAATGTGAATCATGGTTAGTGTTACATGAATCATGATACGCTGAGGGCTCTGCAAAATGAAGCAGAAGGCATTTGATAGGTCAAAAACAAGCTGTTATCCTGTGAAATATATTTATTTATTTCATGTTTTCTCTCCCAAAGGTCTGTTCCATAGAGCCATCATCCAAAGCGGTTCAGCACTCTCCAGCTGGGCTGTCAACTACCACCCAGTCAAGTACACTCGCATGCTCGCTGAGAGAGTTGGCTGCAACGTGTTGGACACGGTGGACATGGTGTCCTGCCTACAAAAGAAGAGCGCCAAGGAGCTCGTAGAGCAAGACATCCAGGCCGACCGCTACCGAGTGGCTTTCGGCCCCGTCATCGACGGTGACGTGATCCCAGATGATCCTGAGATCCTGATGGAGCAGGGGGAGTTCCTAAATTACGACATCATGCTGGGTGTGAATCAGGGAGAGGGGCTTCGCTTCGTGGAGAGCGTGATGGACCTGGAGGACGGCGTCTCCGGAAGCGACTTTGACTTCGCCGTGGCGAATTTCGTGGATAGCTTGTATGGTTACCCAGAGGGTAAGGACACCCTGAGGGAGACAATTAAATTTATGTACACAGACTGGGCTGACAAGGACAACCCAGAGACCAGGAGGAAGACCCTTGTGGCCCTCTTCACTGACCATCAGTGGGTGGAGCCATCAGTGGTGACAGCTGACCTGCATGCCCGCTACGGCTCACCTACATACTTCTACGCCTTCTATCACCACTGCCAGAGCCTCATGAAGCCGGTGTGGTCCGATTCAGCGCACGGAGATGAGGTGCCTTATGTATTCGGCATCCCAATGGTGGGCCCCACTGATCTGTTCCCCTGCAACTTCTCCAGGAATGACATCATGCTCAGCGCCGTGGTTATGACGTACTGGACCAACTTTGCAAAGAGCGGGTGAGTCCATCAGCAGCTACCAACAGAGGGACATAGATGTGATTTACTTATTTGGTCCGGTTGTCCTTCTGACTCCCGTTCAATATCTAATTCAACATTCCAGTCTCGATTGAGAGGCCGCCGCAGTGCTGGTTTCACTCTGAAGTAGAGTCCACTAATTAAGAGCTGCTTGAATTCCCACGTACATCTCTCTCACCCTTACCTCATTTTTCCTTTCTTATTAAACTGAAACTCTCTCATGAAAAAAACAAGGCTGCGTTTTTATTGAATTCCCAAAAGTCTAAAAGCTGAAACACAGGTCTACCTCCTGTGCTGCTGCTAATTTTAATTAGAAATCGTCTTCTTGTTTTATATTTAATTTGATCATTACCTATTTTCTACACGACAACTAGGAGGATCCTTTTGTATTAAATATCAACTGGCAGGTTTTTACATCTGTGTTATCTTTTCTGAGGCAGAAACAGTGCATTGTAGATGCTTTAGACCTTACTGCCATTTATCTAAGAGTTGATGGAAAGGGAGGGAATTTTGTTTCGTTACTGTGGAAAACGGAAATTAGATTTAAAACATTAAATCCAGAAATAAAACTGAAAGATTTCTTAATCAAAAAAGATTTTGATAGTAGTTTTGTTCTTTTCTCAGATTTCATTTTCTATTTCTTTTATATTTCCATCCATCCATCCATTTTCTGTCACGCTTATCCCTGCTGGGGTTGTGAGGGGTCCTGGCGCCTATCTCCAGCTTTCTACGAGCGAGAGGCGGGGTACACCATGGACAGGTCGCCAGTCTATCGCAATATTATATATTGTTTTATTTTATTTTTTTTCCTATTTCTTTTTTTAGATATCCTTTTACAAATCGCATTATTTTTTTTATTTTCATTATTTTCATCATTTTACAGATTCTCTTTACTTCAGTCTCAATACAAATTGGGAGTTGTTTCTAAACGTGTCACTCTGGCATATTTTCACCATTAAGTCAGACTAATCAGCAGCAATTTCAGCTGACAGGAAGAGAGACGCAGTTACAAAATAAAACACATCCACTTTGGGGGAAAATAGAAAATAAAGTCTGTTAATCACACGGGGAAATAGTCAGTTTGGAGTCGCACATCGTGTTTATAGTAAGCGGGTCAGACTTGTGCAAAAAACAATCAATTGAATATTTAAAAATAGAATATTCTACCTATGATAGGAGTATAGGAGGACAGAAAATGGATAAAGTAGTGATCCTCTTTGAGCCTCACAAAAACCAAAATAACAAGCGGCAGACAGAACAAGTAAGCACGGCTTTATCAAAAAAAAAGAAAGAAAAACTTGGATAAACTTCCCAGAACTTTTCATATAATTTGTCCAAGTCAAATGTGGTAAATTGTTTAAATTTTTGTATAGCAAAGACACAGAAATAAAAATAAAAAATCTGTACAGATCTGCTCACCCTGCCTAGCCAGAGCCTCTCTATACGCAGTCAATGTGACATAGAGATTAAAAAGTCGTAAGCAGCTTGTGTGTTCAGGCCTTAACTTTAAATTATGAAAGGACCTCAAGATTTTGTCTAGTGGATAACTGCTTTTTTCCAGAGGTGGTAAATTACAACAAAACAAACAACAAATCACCTGCTAGGTGGGCAGCAGGAATTACCTACGATTGGCTAGAGGTGTCCATGCCCCTCCAGCCACCCTTTTAGATCCGCCCCTGATTAGCTGTGGGAAAATAGAGAAGGTCTATTCTCTTTTCTCTGACTGCATGTGGGGCTTTCAGGACGAGGCAGCTGCCTGACAGACAGCGGTGAGAGACTCACTACAGCTCTAGCTGCTGTTGGAGACACTAATGGTAGCACCATTCCTGTGCTCACGTAGATTTGTTAAAAACACAAAGAAAAGTCATTTGTTATTTACTGTTTTTTTTGTTGTTGTTTAAGAGGTGTCTGAAAGTCCCTGAATATAACAGTAAAGTCACTCAGTTTGCAACACTGGACTTTTGTCTCCAGTTTTCCATCACTACAGAGAGCAGAGCAGCTGTACCTAATAGTTAACTTCATTTGCCAGCCAACTTCTTCTTCTTTAAAAGGTTTTCGGTAGTTTACAAGCTATATGAGTGTATTATCATCGCCAATGAGACTGGGGTAAAGCTTAGAGCAGAAGTCTTCGACAGAGGGTCCACGATCCCTAGGGGGTCTGCGGGGGTACTGCATGGGAGTTGCGAAAGTTTTGGTTGATTACAGTTTTATTTTATATTCCCCCCTGCAATTTTTCCCAATAATTGAAATGTCTTTAAATACACATTCAGCACACTGAAGTAAACAGATAAATGGAGGTAGAAGATGTCTTTCAGTCATCAATGCAGATCTGTGTTTCTGAGTAAAAATAAGTCAAATATCTGACAAAAGAGTGGAAATGAGGAGATATAAAAAAAAAATATATATATGTTGTCATTGTTGTTCCAATAAGTTTAATAGTAAGAACAGAAACAGAGACTCTAGATTTTTTTAGTTCTTCAAATAGTCAGAGAAAGAATATCAAGATTTGACACATAATATGTAATCTTTAAAAGTTTTTCTATCTTTTTGGAAATATTAAATTACATTGTTTAAAATTCTAAAAAAAAAAGACTTATATTTTGAGATCTTTTTCAGCATAAATGACAAATTAACCAGAGAATATATTTGATATTATATTTATATTCCGTCCTGCCATTTTTTCCACTAATGGAAATGTCTTTAAATGCACATTAACAGGAATTCAACACACTGTAGTAAACAGATAAATGGAGGCAGAAGATGTCTTCTAGTCATCAATGCACACATTCAGCGACACACAGGAAGGAGCTCTTTCAATCTGGGCACCGTTTCATTCACAACACCTGCCCCATGAACAAGGAATCAAATCAGATATACTTTATTAATCCCAGGAAGAAATTACTTTCGTTACATTACTCCATCTGTAACAGAGTGACTGTAGCACCAGTTTGATATAACACTATTTTATACAATATATATAATTAGGGGGTCCCCGCTCCATCTCGCCATCAGTTTGGGGGTCCTTGGCCTGGAAAACATTAAAGACCCCTGATCTACAGAATTAAAATCAGGAGAAGGAAAGAAAAAAAGTATAGATTTGACTAAACAATCTGGTTGGCCTTTTAAAACTAAGAAGCTTCAGAGTAAGACAGATAGGAGGCGGCCATGTTGCTTTTCAAAATAGAGTAAATTTTAACATTTCATAATAAATATACAATGTTCTATAAGATTTGATTTTCATCGTTTTAATATTTGGTTTTACTCATTCAGAGAGCTTTTATTTTGCTGTGATGCTGCACCACCATCAGTTACATACAGCAGAAACCTTGCTGTGTTTATAGCAGTGTATTTTTCCTCCAATGGAACCCATCTATGGAAAAAGTAAATTGTCTCTGGTATCATCATAAAGTCCCCAGTATCTCTCATTCTAAAAAAAATAATTAATAAATAAATTATTCCATCCGAGCACTTCCTGGATGTTTGCTCACCATACCCTGATGTCAGTCAAACACTCATTTGAATAAAGAATATTAGCATTTACCCCTCCTATTGAGCTTTAATTTCTTTTAGCAATGAATTATTTCTGTTAATCTGAATAAACAGCAGCAGAGATTTCTATCGCTGTGTGAAACTCTCTTGTAGATTTGCAAGAACCTGTTTCATTTCTGTAATATTTGACATCAAAAATGAAATATTAAACATGTATTCCATGTGTTTCTAAGTGATGTTTATTATTCAAGACAAGCTCCAACTTTGATGCTGACAGTTAAAAAGAAAAATCTTGTTTCTTAGATTTCGACAGTGAAAAGATCTGCCGCTTTTTTTTTTTTTAAAGCAAAGCCTTGCTGTGTCTTTTTTTCCCCCTCAAGCCAAGAGATTCTTAAGTGAGTTTCCCTTTAGTGGAGGACCTCTCTGCTGCTTTGCTGGAAGTACTCTACAGCTGCAATAAATCTTTGTGTAGGTTGACCCCAGCAGAAGGCGAAAGCTCAGCACAGGTCACTGTGGGCTGCTAATGCTGCTGTGTACGAATTGGTAAAAGCTGTGCCTTTGAGGATAGATGGGGATATTACACTGAGCGTCTATTTAGCTCTTTCATTTGGACAAATCTTTTTTACTCTTTTTGTAGTTTTATAGAAAACCCTTCACCGTTCTTTCTAAAGTATTAATACAACTACAGAATTTGATGTATACATATATATTTATATACTTATAATACAGAGTTTTTGGGATAGGATAAAACTAATTAGTGGATTATTAGGTGCTATAAGGAAGAAAGTAACTCTTTTTTGTTTTCCAAATAAAAAGCTGTTGACTGAGTTTTACATTTGTATTAATCTCACTTTACTCTAAACAACGTCCAGCAGCAAATTCTCTTCAGCAGTGTTTTAATTAGTGAATGGAGTCCACCTGTAATTTGATCCCAGTATAAATATGATTATTCTAAGAGGCCCTCAGATATGTGTTTGAGAACATTACAGAGCAGATAGCTTAAAACTGCTGTATGCAAAAACTTAAAGCGGAGTTAGGTTAAGGTAATGTAAAAAATATACGAAAGTATGAGCATTTAAAGGAGCACTCCTCCATTTATGACTTCGAAGTAGAATGAATATGACACACTACCAAACCTAAGAAAAAATTGCCTATAGGATTAATGGAAATGAACTTGGCACCTCTTTATGAACACACAGACTTTTTTTGCGAGGCAAGGGTTCAAACATGTATGGCTTTAAGCTTTCTACACCAAACCAAGCTTCTGCAGCCCTGGCGTCCTGTTCCACGACAACTTCGTCCCTGCTTTCCTCCTCTAAATAAAAACTGTATGATGGAGGAGACTCATCCATTACCTCTGACACAAAACTCTCCTCCTCTTGCATGTTTCCACTGTCCATAGCGTTCCTTGACAGTTTTGTTGGTAAGTGCTACTTGGTCCCACTGTAATCTCCCATTGGGAACCTACTAGCACTACGTTGCTAACTGGTTAGCAAGATGCCAAGATGCTTCCGAGACACCGACCACAACCAAACTGGCTTGCGAACCTTCCGCCACAACAATCCCGCCCTCTTGATAATCGACCAATCACATTCACTTTATTCACTCGTGTAAAGCCGGGCACCACTCTGAGAATTTAGAACTGTAACCGTTGGAACAGCTGCTTTCCTACGACTTTAAGACATTTCAAAATATTTATAATTGTATTCATAATTAAAAAGTAAATTATATATATATATATATATATATATATATATATATATATATATATATATATATATATATATATATATATATGCCTACCTGGAATGGGTGATAATAGTTGAATAAACTTTTGGTATCAACCATACATTTTGGTAAAATGGTATCGGTGCCCTATTTATTGGTACTCGCCGATACCGATTCCACCATTTTAGTGCTGGATCAGGGCCCTGCCCGATATTGGTATATATATATATATATATATATATATATATAAGATATATACTTTTTAGATGTACAAGATATCTATATAATCTTTAATGACTAGTAAAGCATCATTCCATTTTGCGGCGGATTGGTGACGTATTTACGCACTAGGGTGCAAATATCTTCGCCCATTGACTTTCGTTAAAAGTTGTACATGCGCAGTAAGTCCTCTGCAATACAAAGGTATAAGCGAATGCGGAGCACAACTCTGGTGCAAGAGAGAGAGAAAAATACAAGGACCTGGTTTGGTAAGAAGCTTGCCTAGTAGCATGTAGCTTTATTCTGCTCTCCCTGCCTCCTTTTTCAAACATCAGGATCGGACCCAGCATGGATAAAGACAGCTAGGACTGATTTAAAGCACTTTTTAGAAAAAGCAAAGAAGAAAGAACAATCTAGGATTCACATGGAAAATTATATAATGTAGTGTACTTTTTCTAGATGTTTGTTAATTTGCATAGTTTTATTGTAAATTAACAGATTCTCAGAAAATAGTTTCTATATATTAAAAAAAGAATAAAGCTGACCAATAGCTTCTCCATTATTAAACTGGTACATTGTTTTTTTTTAGGTTTGTGACACAATATTGGACTATGCAAAACATTTGCCTTCACAAAGCCTCAGAAGGGCAAGATTTATGTACAAAAAAGTAAACCTGTTCATGAAGTTATATATATATATATATTTTAAAATAAATTTCATAATGTTTTTTGTCGTTCCCATTCATATAAATATACTGGTGTATTAACTCAGTATACATTTGATTGTTTTTTGGTATACGTCTATTTTGAATTTATAGCCCCCCCTTCAGAAAACTCCACCAGATGCTACATCAGTTATTCATCATTTTACTTTGACCTTTTCAAAAAATTAAACTGAATGTATTTAGTGTCTGCTAGGGGTGTAAATCACATCCATCATGGCGATTCGATTATGTATCGATTTCCTGACCCAACGATTCGATTATTTTCGATACTCAAGAATACACCACGATTCGATTCGATTAATCGATTAATTGGTTAAAAAAAAATTATTATTATGTTTTTTACACCTTACAGGCTAAACAAAGTTTCAAGTTTGAAATAAATCAATGAAAGCTGTAATATCGTTATGAATTTTTTAAGCGCCACGGCAGCACGGGAGGTAGAATTACGCCCAGGAGCAAATGGATAAAAATAGACCGGAGGAAAAAAAAAAACATGAATCGATTATCTTGCGGACGTATCGATGCATCGGATCGTCGGCTTTTGTATCGATGCATCGATACAAAACGATTATTATTTACACCCCTAGTGTCTGCAATAAATGCTTTAACTACAAATACTGTTTATGATCCACTGTATTAAGTTTTTTTTTTTTTGTCTTTGATGAGACAAAAACTATTTCATTGTTTTTTAGTTCTATTTATGTAATGTCCGTGAAGTTTAATCTAATCTAGTGTTGTTTGCTAAAGTTTTTTTTTTGTGTGTTTTATTCTTAGGGATCCTAACAAGCCAGTCCCACAGGACACCAAGTTCATCCATACCAAGGCCAACCGCTTTGAGGAGGTGGCCTGGTCCAAGTATGACCCCTACGACCAGCTCTATCTGCACATCGGCCTGAAGCCTCGGATCCGTGACCACTATCGAGCCACGAAAGTAGCTTTCTGGAAACACCTGGTCCCCCATCTCTACAACATTCACGATGTTTTCCACTACTCATCGACCACCACCAAAGTCACCCCCCTGGACCCCACCCAGTCCAACGGCAAGAGGTCTGGCAGCACAGGCCGGCCTCCCATGTCCACTTCCCACAGTGACGGGGAGGGCGGGAGAGAGATGGGTCCTCTGATTATGCCCAACCCCAGAGATTACTCCACGGAGCTCAGCGTCACCATCGCCGTGGGAGCATCGCTGCTCTTCCTCAACGTCTTGGCCTTCGCCGCCCTGTACTACCGCAAGGACAAGCGCAGTCGCCAGGAGACTTCACAGCAGCCCAGTCCACAACGCGATAGCAAAGGCAACAATGCGAGCCATGCCAACACAGTGGACGAGACCCTGTCGTCTCAGCAAAGGAGCCCGTGTGAAGCGCTTCACAATCCTCTCCACGCCTCACCCAGCTACTCTCTGAGCCAGCGCCGCTCGCCTGACGACATCCCTCTGATGACGCCCAACAACATCACCATGATCCCCAACTCCCTGATGGGTCTGTCCAACATGAGTCCGTACAGCACCTTCCCCGCCGGCTACAGCTCCACAGGCTTGCCCAGCACCCACTCTACCACTCGGGTATAGCCTGTTGACAGAACACCAAACATGAGCATTCAAAGCTGTATTTAGAATGTGAACGTAAATTAGGATCGAGTATGTTTGTCTTTTCCAAAGGTGTGACACCGCAAACATCCTGCCTTTGCTCTTTCATAGTAGGAAGTCTTACCTGCAGTCATTTTATAATAATCATTGTCAAAGGCAGTTTAAAAGAAAACAAGTGCATTTCATTTTCCACTTTCTGGATACTTGCCTAGCAGGAACTTAGTATAATGTTTATACAGTGGGATTTGTATGGGAAGCTTTTTTCTTACTCTGTAATATCTATTTTGCTCTCGCAGAACAAAGTGACACTACGACTCATGACGGCTAGAGAGGAAAAACAGAGAAGCATTACTACCGTTGCTATTATCCAGCTATTTTATACACATTTCTCATGTCATATTGCTTATTATGAAAAAAAAGTATTTTTACTCTTAATTACTTTCCAAACGCCTTGTACATCTCTTTAACACTAAATTACTGTGGAAGCATAGCTGCAGTGGATGATGAATGAAACACACCATGAAATCTATGGAGGACCTAGAGAGACACGGAAAAAGAAATACTACCATTTAGAATCAAAAATTTAAATAATTTCATTAAAAATCCAGTTGAAAAGCATTTTGTATTTGCACATTTTAAGTTGTATTATTAAAGAGGAATTGCAAATTGTATTTATCGATCATTAATAAGTAATGCAATTTAAACATGTGTTTTTTCGTTCATATTTCTAGATAAAGATTTATAAGCTTTTACTGATAATGAGCTGTAGCTAAACTATTTTGTGAGTTGCTTCTGCACTGCTTATATGGTTTAACAAAAATGTTAATCGGATGCAACTAAACCATTAATAAATTAAAACTAGCCTGTTTATCAGCTTTATGTAAACTGTTGAAAGGCTGTAATTGTTGGGTTACAAAAATAAAAGGAGAGGATGACGTAAAAAGAAAATACAAACACAAGAAGGATTTGAAAATGAGAGGTGAAAAGAAAAAAGGGAAACATAAATTGCCTTTAAAATGTTTAATGAGGAAAGCTACTTGTAATTAGATGTATGTTTTTAAATCTTTACTTGGATATAAGATTTTAAAATATGTCTTCAATTTTCAGTGTTAATGGATTCATAAATATAATCTAAAATTCCTATTTAAAATGTAATTGAAAATGTACAGTAATCAAATGGTTTTAAACTGGATTTCTAATTGTGCGATTTAAATATTACATTTGAAACGCTTGTATTTCTTTTTCAACCTCTCCCCTGGCCCTCCATAGAAAATATTCAACTTTGCCTAAATGTTCCCATCAGGCGGTGCAAATCTGGCACCTGCGTGTATGTATGTGTGTGTTTGTTTGGGTGTGAGAGTGCGTGGATGTACTGAAATCTGTGCAACAGAAATGTAAATTAGGCATCGTTTAGAAATTAACCTCTTGGTTTTGCATATGTAGTGTTGTGTAGTTTATTGTAGTCCACTTGAGTATCCTTGTTTTGGCTCTGTGTGGTTTTTTGTTTCCTTTTGGCGAAATACGCTAAAGGGATATAACTTCTGCTTCACTATAAACAAAATATTGCTTATAAGATGTGTTTTCCTACTCTAACTAACTCATGGTTTTGGCTCGGATTGTTTGTACAGAATAAACTTAGACTGATGTTTGATTTGTTGTTTGTTTATGAATACTGTAAGCCCCTCAGAGAGAAGACTGTAATTACTTTCTAGCTGTATATAAACCACTTCAGTTATTCATCATTTGAAAAGAGAAGAGAAGAAAAGAAAAAGGGAGCTTTATGACTTTATGGTAGACTTTGCTCCTTTTCCAAGTGGTCTGGACCCTTTTCTAAGTAAATCAAAGGGATTTTCCAACACTGACTGGACATGATGAACCTGGAGAACTGAGCCTTGATTTCTTTAAACCTATCATAACATTGTTTAACCTAAACCAGACAAGTATTAAAAGATTTTTGAAACTAAAGTGGTGTTCCTGTCAGACATTGAAACTTGCCTGTGCATCCCTTCTACTGTATCCTTAATTGATAGTATATTATTTATATATTTTGGGAATGTTCTCCATACTTTCTGGTTCTGCATTGTGATCTCAATATCCAAAACCCTTGTGAAGATGAACAACGAAAGAGACTGAATTCAATCCTTTAAAAAATCTGAGATAAAAGGTAAGAGATGTCCATTCATCCATTTTCTCCTGCTTAGTCCTTTTCAGGGTCGCGGTGGGGCCGGTGTAACCTGACTCCACCAGATGGATTTGCTCCACATATCCATCTGGAAACCTTCCGTTGAAGTAATTTTGGGAAGGGGCGAATATACTGGTTAGCTGATTGGCCTATGTTGGTGATAGACGGGCCTAATAAACCAATCAGATCAACGAAGCAACAGAGCGACGACGAAGAGGAGCCAATTGATAGATCAAACTCTTGCCGAAGCCAACGCTGATTGGACGTTCGTTTGGTGAACGGCTCCAAATTTTCTTCAACGGAGAGTCTCCAGACTGATTAGCGAGTGAAATCTTGAAAGCTCACGAGATCAGGATGGTCTCACGAGGCTAGGGCCGGTGCCCATCTCTGGCAGTCTATGGGCAAGAGGCAGGGTCCACCCTGGGCAGGTCGCCAGGGTCTCACAGGGCAAAACAGAGACACACAACCATGTACAAACTCACAGCTAAGGACAGTTTAGGGAAGACAATTAAGCTAACAGACATGTCAGTGGGAAGAAGCCAGAGAACCCAGAGAGAACCCATGCATGCACAGGGAGAACATGTAAACTCCATACAGAAAGATCCTGGGCTGAGAATTGAACCCAGAACCTTCTTGCTGCAAGGCAACAATGATACCCTCTTCTCCATCATGCAGTCCCTTGAGAAATGTCATAATGTGAAATTAAAGAAGATATAAGATCACAGCTGAACAACCATTAGTGAAACATTTATCTCCAACAGGACGGCTGCATTTTCAGTAAATTAGGAATTCTGTTTTAGGAAAATAAACACTAAGAAACTCCTAGAGACTAGGAAATTGGAAAGTCATACACTGTTGGAAGATTTGTTTGTGTAAAGATCTCACATTATACTACATTTGAAAATAAAAAGTATTTACAATAAGCCAACCCAGAACACGTTTTTACTGCTTGAGCATGAAATCTCTGAGATAAAGGAGACAGCAAGTACCAAAAACCTAATCCAGCCCAATATGCACAAATTTCCCTCAAATCACCTCAATATATAACATGGAGCAATCCTTCTATATACAGAACAATCTCATTTTTCAAGGAAAGGCTAGAAACCCTAGACTGTGAATTAATTTTTGTTTATTCATATATATATAACGCATGCTCATAACACGTCATCTCAAGGCACTTTACAGAAACAATACTGTCCACTTTGTTGCCTCCGGTACACGGTTAATTAAAGTCTTTCAATAAAAAAACCAACATGTACAACCAGTAGCCAGTTACCCTAAGCTGTATTTAAGTAACCAAGCTGCTACTTACATAAGTACTTTAACATAAGCACACAATCAGAATGTTAAGCACACATTAACTTGGAGGAGGATTAAGACATTGAGAGTGGGGAAAGGTTTTTTTTTTTTTTATATTACACAGGCTTTAGCACACATATGAGTGTTAAAAAAAAGTTTATAAAGGGAATTTTGCATAATATGGGACTTTTAAGGAGGAAGCTGAGGAAACCTGGAAAGACTTTCAACATTTTTTGAGATAGGATTCAGCTGATGCACCGCCAATGATATGTGGCGCTGAGCCGTCCAGAGTGCCCCCGATACAGCAGGCTCCAATGAAAAGGCAGGAGTCCAATCAATGTCAAGGAAAACAGATCACACCAGGAAGGTTTTGAGATCCAGGAGTCCGTAGCCCGATCAGGGGTTCTGATCCAAACAGCAACAAACAGGTTCAGGGTTCCAGGAATCCACAGAGCATTCAGGCAGATTCAGAGCTCCATGAGTCCAGCAGCGAGCTCAGGCAGATACGTTCAGAGGGAGCCAGGCAGCATCAGTGGTGAGAGGCAGAGACAAGACAAGGTACAAGGAGAACTGCAGAACTTTAAACTGAACCTCTTCAAGAGCCAGGACTACAGAAGTGTAAACTAGCTTCCCCCCTAATGAGCCAAAACAGGAACAGAAAGCGGGAGAGAGCCAGGACACGATGAGGAAACATGATGACAAAACAAATAACCCTCTCTAACCACTGGCCTAAGAGAACGAAAAACATGAACTAATTAAATGACTCAAACTGAACACAAACAATCATCATACAATGATCTGGCCCTGATAGCTGGGCTGAGCCGAATATAAAGCAGCAGACGCAGTTGGATAAGATGAGAGATGATTAGAAACCGGGCAGAGTTGGGCAGGTGAGTGAAATGAACAAATAGCTCAGCTATGACGGCAGATCATGACAATACCGCAAATATAGACTTCTTTTTTTGTTTACTTGTATAACATTTAAAAAAATAGGTGTCATTTTTCTCACACTATGAAATCAGACACTACTTTGTTTACTCTATTATATAAGATCCTAATACAAATAAGGGGTGTGAAAAGCCTAAGGCACTGCCATGAAGTAGCAGCCAGTCATCTCTACGACACTGTTGATGGAAAAAGTGTCTAATTCTTAATTAACAAGAAACTGACATCCAGTCTTTCTCATTCAAGCCAACATTCTATGAAATACTTTGCAAGGGAGGACAGATACACTGTTGCCAATATTCCTACCTGTTCTGAATCGCACAGGTTTTCCCTAACTACTTAAGAATGTAATGGTCTTGTTGTTGATGACTGGCTTAATTACTAATTTCATTCACCTGTATAACTCAGGTTTTTCATTACTGCTCATCTGATCCACCTGCTCCTGCCTCTTTTTAAGCTGCCTGCTAACAGTCGTCAGAGCTAGATTATTTCTCTCTAGCCAGTGAAGAGAGTGTGCCAGCATTACCTTGGTGTCTCTGATTTCATGTTGTGTCTCTCAACCATTGAGTACGCCTGTTCCGATCTGGTCTATTTTAATCTGCCTGCTTCCAGCTGTTAGGTGAGAATATTCTCGTGCAGTGGTGAGAGCGTTTCAGCGTTACCTTAGTGTTTCTGGTTACCTGATCCTTTTCTGGCTCTCAACCACTGAGCCTTCCTGTTCCCATCTGATCACTTTACCTGAGCTGTCTTCAGACTCCTGTGGATTCTGCGTGTTTGCTAAACTTGGAGCTGCTTCCTGTCACCGACCTGAGTTTTTTCTTTGGAACCTCCTCCGACTTTTGATCTCCTGGTTCTGAATCCCTAGCACGTCCTCGGCACCGGCTTTAGCTTTGCCTTCTGGACTATCCTGCCTTCTTTTTTTCTACTCGGATCTGCTCTCCTGCTTGTTCTCCATCCTGCGGGGCTGCAGCATCTAGGACACTCTGGGCGGCGCCCGCCGAATCCTGTTGGCAGCCCACCGGCTGGATTCTTCCTTGTTCTCTGGTCACTGACTGAATTGTTCATCCAGGTAAGTGACTCACATCCTCCATCAAATTTTGTGGTCACTAACCTGAGTTTTTCTCCTACAAAGGTTCTTGCCTTAGACACCCTTGCAAGGTTTACGTATTAATGTACTATGACCCATGAGAACAGATTTTAATAGAAAATGTAATCGTACTTCAGAGAGGTTGCACCGATACGATGTTAACTTCGGGCTCGCTGCATTAGAGATTCGGCAGCAGCCCTGAATAACGGTTAAATAAGCATTTGATACATTTCGTAATACATATATTTGAACATGAGGAGACTTCACTTGCTCCTGCTATATCAAGTATTAGACAGTGTTCTTAGATCAAGGACGACCCGATTGCACAGAGTAAGAGCTATGTGTAAAGAATAATCCACTCCGTCTTTATACTCCCATTCCCAAATCTTTGTTAGGTACCCCACATTATGAAGATGATTGACTTTTATCCTGACAGAAGAATGGTCCTAATTAGATAAACTGCCAGGGAAAACATGAGCCTTAACACATAACAGGCATGTAATATTAGGGTTTAACAACAACATACATCAATAATAAATTAATCCTAACAGTAAAATGTTGAAAGAACCTTGAGAAGAACGAGTCTGAACTGTGATGGGAAAAATTATCTGTTCCATTATCTTCTGTTGTGTTTAAAACAACTCCTCTCACCCAGACACTGGGTAGCCTTGCAGGTGTGAGATGGCCTGAGTGAATAATAAAGTAAATGAAAGCACTCCTAAGAAAATATTATGAAGAGCTTTGATGGGAAATTGATTTTTTTTGACGACAACATACTCCAGAAATCGCTCTGTATCATTGTAAGATTTTCAAGCTAGACGTGCCTCTAACAAACATGAGGATTTTGTCAGACCGTGTGACTGCTTACATACCCTGCAGGCCTCAAACACGCAGCCACACACAGAGCATGGCATAATCACAAAAGTCAATCAAAAACGCGGGCGAATACAGGCGCCCAGCTGGAAAACAAGCTCAGCTCTAACTTTACTTCATCACTCTCTCAACACGGGAGGTCATCACCGCTGAATTATCAAGGGTTTGTTTGTTTGCCTGATGAGTGTTTGTCTGGTTTGTCCCAAAAGATAACATAAGAAGCATCGTGATAACGGGTGAAAGGAGGCTGAAAACATAACGTGGGCCTTTGCGTATTGCTGCGTTTAGTGTGTAAATATTAGAAGTGCATCCGCCTTACAGCAGAGTTCCCAGTACCATTATGCATCTACATTCTGCACACCAAATTCCATACATGCAATTGACATGAAGTATAGCTCATTTAGACTAAAAGGCAATGATGCAGAGTCACTAAATGAGATATTTAAGCTTAATGACATCTGAAATATTAAGGTCTACTTGTGTGACATTAGCTTATGCAACATCCTGGGTGTTTAATGTGATCCTAAGATATGCTGTCATTTATCATATGAGCTCCTCACATCACCCATACAAATCAAA